CTGTCTCTTGGGCGGCGGAATCTCGACCACGTCGTCGTCTGAGTTTTCGTCATCTTTGTTGGCGCTTGAAGGACGCTGCCGCTTCGCCACGCGATCTTGACGTTGCTGCTCCAATTCGCTGGTGCTTTTGCCCATGCCTGCTGATACTGACGTTGTGGTTTGTCTCTTGGGCGGTGATATTTCGACTACGTCCTCGCTTGCGTCTTTCGCCTTGGCTTCGTCGTCTTTCTGGGCAGCTGATGGGCCCTTGCGCTTTGCCAGACGCTCCAGCCGTTCCCGCTCCATGGCCCTGCGGTCGAGACCACCAAACTGGAACGGAGCTTGAGGCGGGGGCATTGCCTGAGAGGATTGTTGCGCAGTTGCCTGCGGTTGAGATTGAGCTTGAGATTGAGCTTGAGAGTGTGCTTGGGGCTGAGGCTGAGACTGGGACGGTGCATGTGTTCGTGCCCGTGCCTGTGACTGTGAGAGCAGCTGCCGCTGGGAAGATACCCAAGAGTCCACCATCGTCGACGGCATCGTCGACAGAACCCGTTCCTGCGTCGGTGGCGGCATCCCTGACAAGACCCGTGCTGAAGCCCGTCCTGGAATCTGCAACGAGCGTCGAGCTGGCGCCCGCGGTCGCGCGTGCCCCAGCATCGGCGTGGGAGTCTCTAGCGTTGCAAATCCACTTGACGATTCCGAAGACGCAGTCGTCTCGTCTTCATCGCCATCGTCGTCTTCATCTTCCTCGAGTTCATCATCATCCTCTTCATCTTCGTGCTGCGCCACAAGCTCGCGCGCGGCCAGCATGATCGCAGCCCGAATCAGTCTATCCTCCTCCTCGCGCTCCCGGATGTCGTCCCGGATGATGCTGTCGATGATGCCGAGAGGGTCGTGGCCGGACGCCATCCTGTTGATAAAGTCCTGGACATGATCGTTGGACATGGCTGTCGTTGCTATGAGTGGTTTTCTTGCCTTTGAGAGATGAAGCCTCTCATGAGCCGAACAGAGCCCAGAATATGCTGTTTGGCCGGTTGTTTGTGCGTCTTGTCGTGTCGTGATTCTCGTCTGTCGTTGTTGCGTGAATTGAACTGGCGCGCTGTCACGTGGTTTGTCTGGAGGGAAGGAGCAACATGCGGTGAGATGTAAGCCTTGGGGGAAGTATCGATAGGTAGTAGGAGACAACTGGTGATTTATCTGCAATCTGCGTCTTGTCAAATACATGAAGTGTCGATATATCGGGTGAAATGTGTTGTTTAACTATGAATGTGTGGCATTGAATTGTGTTGTGATAATTCTGGGAGGGTTGCATCACCACACCGAGAAACGTCGGTGATGGACCTGGACCAACAACAACACCCGCTATCGATAACGAGACATGTCAACGTCAAGCATCATCAAAGACATGTGAATGAAGGCACAACTCTTGCAACAGCCATCACACTGACGAATGAATGAACAATTGTCCTTCACAACTGTTCCTAAATATTTTGACCGTCCAATGGGGGACAAACACAGTCTTCTCTCTTGGCCCCCTCCCTCGAGAACAGAGTTTCCGATCATGGCGGCGGCTAAGACGACACGCGCATCGGACAATGACGTCCACGAGGCTGCTGTCTCAGTTTATATAAGGCCTCCCTTGTCCCAGCCCGGACTATCATTCTGATCCGATATTCTATACTCACCTCTTATTTGTTTCATTTTATTCATTCTCATACAGTCAAGATGGCCTCCAATCAGCAATCCAAAACACCGCGCCACATTGTCATTGTTGGGGCTGGCGCTGCAGGCATGGTACAAAGCAATCTATATATCTTGCCGCCAAATAGGAGCCTTTCTCATAAGATTAGATGCTAATGCTGGTCATATTCACAGTCCTGCGCCGCAACTCTGGCCAATCACCCAGACGACTTCAAAGTCACACTCCTGGAAAAAAACAGCATCGTAGGGGGACAAGCCATGTCCATCCCCCTCGATCAAGAAAAGTACGGGGCCTCATGGATGAACAATGGAGTCCAAGGAGGCTCTCAGGTGAGTCAACCTTTCAGACTCTCTTCCACATTTACCTTCCATCACCTCGTTGAACCTCTCCTCTCTTCTTCGTGAACCCTCTTTCTATTTCTCATCCCACCTCATCTTCTCCTGTCCACATGTCCATCAAGCCTGGCTCACACCCCTTCCAGATCTTCAAACACACCTTCAACTACTTCAACCAATACGGCTTCCCCGCTCAGCCGCTCGCACTCCAAGTCTCCTTCGGCAAGGGCCCGTCCGGCTTCTGGACAAACTGCTTCCCCAGCAAGCTCGTTGCCCAGCACGCCGCCGACATCCGCCGCTTCGGCCTCTTCCTCAAGGTCGTCAAGTGGACCATGCCCGTCCTCGGCATCCTGCCCATCTCCCTCATGCTGCGCCTCTTCTTCTTCAGCAGGGACTTTGGCGACAAGATGGTCTACCCGCTCATCGCCCTCTTCCTCGGCACCGGCAACCAGACGGCCAACGTCCCCGCCGCCATCGTCGAGCGGCTCTTCAACGACCCCAACATGAAGCTCTGGGACTACGATCCCGACACCCTGCTGCCCAATCAGCCCACCATGTACTCGTTTGACTGCCTGGACAGCTTCTACGGCAAATGGAAGGACGATTTGGTCGCAAAGGGCGTCACCATCAGAACCAACACCGAGGTCCAAGAGGTGGTGTCGCGATCCAAGAAGGGCGTCGACCTCGTCATCAAGAACAACAACGACAACAACGACAGCGGCGACACGACAACCGAGCACTTTGACCACCTCGTCCTCTGCGTCCTCGCCGACGACGCCCTGCGCATCCTCGGCAAATCCGCCACTCGGCGCGAGAAGCTGGTCCTCGGCGGCGCCTCCTTCTACGACGACCTGACCATCACCCACTCCGACTCCGACTACTTCAACAAGCACTACGAAACCCGCTTCAAACCCGAGCTCTGCGGAGAGCCAAAGTCCGAGGCCCAGTGCCACCAAATCGCCTCTGCCAAGGGCGAGCCCGCTTCTCCTACTCATTCGTCTTCCTCTTACTCCTCGCCCTCGTCAGAGCAGCAGCCGGAGCAACAGCAGCAGCAGCAGCCGTTCAACCCCATGTATTACACGTACACATATCAGGAGGACCCACGCCTCATCGAAATGAGCTTCAACTGCAGCAACTACCAGCACCAGTTCAAACGCAGCAAGGACAACACGACAACATCATCATCATCGCCATCATCCTCGTCGCCAGCCCCAGTCTATCAAACCATCTTCCTCGACAAGCGAAAGCGCGACCTCTGGACCGAGGGCGCCATCGACGAGAGCAAAATCATCAAGCGCAACTGGTGGCACCAGCTCGGCCACCGCTGGCAGCACTACGTCCGCGTCGTGCCGGGCGTCATGTTCCTCCAGGGCCGCAACAATACTTTCTTCGCCGGATCATGGACGTTGGTGGTACGCTTTTCCTAGTCGTTCCATATTAACCCTTTATTGTCGCCCCTTCAACCCTCTCCTTGAGATTTTGTTAGACCCGTACAGCTAATCATACGTAGAACATGCACGAGGTGGCTTGCATCAGTGGCATAGCCGCCGCCTACCGCCTCGGCGCAGAGTACCGCAAGTTTGACGACTTTGCCCAGGACTTTTTCGTCAAGTATCTTCTAGTCTCTCATGGCAAAATCTTTTCAAGGGAAGAAAAGAAGAGGAACAAGGCCAAAAAGACTGCTTAGGGAGCTGTTGGATGACATTTTTTGTGGATAAAGTCCAGAGAAGAGAAGAGGAGCAGGTGCAAGATCTAATACCCCGAATTATTAAAACCATAATTATATATATTGGCAAGAAGAATGCGACAGAATGCAACGCCAAAATGTGAAAACTATCTACCTTGCGCTATAGACGCTGGATACGCTCTTCATACAGTGGCTGTCGACACAATAACAAGGCAAAAGAATCAGAATGTCCACGCAAAACGAATGTCGGGCCTAGTCATGCACCGGGCATATTGCACACAGACATCAGCTCAGAAGAGGTATGTAATGAGAGACGAAACCATGTTAACGAAAGTAGAAGAAGATAAAAAGAAAGAAGAAGAGAGAAGAACAAAGAGAGAAAATGTAGTTGATACGTCCAAGTAGACGACAGATATTTGCCCTTCACATCTCCGCCCAGCTCCATGAACCGACCACTCGTCGAAACCTCCCAATGCCGTGAGAACAAAGGCGACAAGACGAAGAGGCGGGCCAGATGAGACAAGCCCAAGCCGATGACCGCGAAGCCGCCTAAAGAAACGTATAAACAATGATGAAGAAAAGACAGCCGGAAAGAGACAGCGACTGCAAATCAGGACGAGAGAAGAAACCAAAGCTGCAAGTCAGGACGACAAAAGAAACCGGACCAGCAGACCGGGAACGATGAAAGAAACCCCAGACTAACCGCCGTGCCATGCCGAAATATACCAGAGGTGCTCAGCCGGCATAAAGCAGAGCCAAAGGCCTCAATCGCAGCAATCGCCAGGGACTCCTCGGGTATCATGAAAACCACAACGCAGTCAAGCCGCAAAGCAGAAATCGTCGTCCTGATGCAGGTTACATGATCTGTAACATCCAGAGTCAATTCCCGCAAACGCAAAGTACCGTGAAACCCCTAGTTGATATGCAAATCCATCCTCGCTTGCGCCCAACGCGTCTTCGATGCACGTTTCTCCTTGACCATTGAAGAAAAGAATGAACAGAGCAGAAAAACCGGCAAATCAGAAGAGGACCAGTGAGGGTGAAACAAGGCGGCACATGGCCGTGTGCTGCCGAGACCAGTTGCAAAGGCAACGCATGGTGTAAGCCCCTCTCTAAGGTGATGCGAAAGACATGGCGAAGAAAAGGACACAAGAACAAGATATGCTTGGTACTGTTTCCCAATGATCCACAGTGACAAGATGCCAGCCGAGATGAAGAAGAAGAAAAGAAGAAAGAAAAAAAAAGAAGCGATATTTGATGAAAATGCACAATTAAAAAGGATAGATTCGGACCACGGCTAGCGAGTAAAAAGCCTCCTCTCAGTGGGCGGCCCCTCGCCTCCGACATCCAGCTTCAGGATCCGTCGAAGATCGTTTTCCATGGCCTGTATGCTGCTTGCGCCGCCGTTCGCTTGGCTGTTGGAGAACTGTTCAGCACTGCGAGGTTGAGGAGGGAATGCAGGAGGGTTGGCAGCGGCTGGAGCCGTTGGTGCAGACGACTGAGGAGCGAAAAGAAACCTCTTGAGAGCCTCGGTTGGATCCTCCATCGGCGCACTGGCGTTTGCAGGGGGCATGGGGCTTCCCTGAGAAGCATGGGCGTTGGTTGCCATACTTCGCGCAGCCTTGATTCGATCCTGATACGGGGTCGAGAAAGCTGGACCCAACGGCTGGCCTCCGGTCCCGTCCAGCTCAAAGATCTCCATGTCACCAGAGGACTCCCGGTTGTACGCACGGCGGTTCTGGGCCAGGCCAGAGGCAGACGGGGAGAAGGGCGTATTGGTGTGGTGAGGCGGAGACATGATGCCGGCCAGCGCCGACGCCGGACCAGCAGTCTGGTCAACCTGCTCTCGGGCCGCCTTCTCCAACCGATGAGCTCGGAACATGAAGTCGAGCGGCGACTCGCGGTGCTGGGAGGCAGACACGGGTCGCTGCGGCGTGGGCGCCTCCGAATCGGTGGCAGGGGGGGACGGCTGGGGGACGACGCCCCTCGGCTTCCGCACCATGGGAGACTCGCTGTTGGACTTGATGAAGCTCGGGATGGGCAGGTCTGAGGGGGCGGGCGAGGCATGGAAGGTGGCCCCGGCAAATGGCGTGCTGGAGATTGCCTTTGACGCTGGCGACGTCCGCGGAGGCGACTGGTTGTTGCTGAGCTGGTAGTTGGGCGAGGTCGGGTCATGTTTCGATCTCGACTTGTTGTTTCGGTTGCGTGGCTTGGAGCCGGGCTGGGCGCTGGGGCCCTCCGCAGGCACAGGAGAGACCGACAGAATCTTCTTGGGAGTCTGGGGATTCTTGCGGTGGCCGTGGTGGCCGAGGTGTGACGATGAGGCGTAGTTGGCAGCATCGTTCTCGGAGGCATAGGCCTTGAGAGGGGCGGGCTTGCCTCGACCCTGTCGACGACGACCAGGCGTGCCCTTGTCTGGTGATGCTCGGGCTTCCATGGAATGAGTATTTTGGATTCTTGATTTCAGTTGTTGGTTTGAGTCTCCGTCAGGATCGTTTCATCGATAAGACTGAAGCTGGATCGTGGGTTGCGTGCGAACAAAGGACCGACTTGTTGCTGGTGTGGTGGGAAGAGAGGAGAAAACGCTGCTGGCAGGGGCTCTTGTCTGGCGAGTGATGAACACGCGGGAGTCACTCGGTAAAAGGGCAAGGAGATAGTCTCGTCTGTTGGCAGAGTAGCGTGGAGAGTAGAATGGCGATGGTGTCGGAGAGACGAGAGGAGGGGGAGAGAGTCGAGACGGTGGTAGCTGGACAAACAAGCAAGGCTTTGTTTGGGCAGTGCTCTCACGATGTGTGTTTGCTACTGGAGGATTAGCAGAGATGCCGTTCAGCCCCGGCTGCTCCGTATCGGCAGTTAAGGCGGCGTCCAGTGCGGTGTATATTTGCAAGCGACTCAGGCCAGAGAGGTACTTTAGGGCCTAACGGGGCAACCCAAGGCCCCGCATGCATGCGCCATCAGCTGCGAGAGGGTAGCGCCATGTACCGGCAGGTCGAAAGATGGCTGCGTTTCTACGGCGATGTACCAAAACACACTGCCCAAACAGTGTCAAGCCTCGTGGCTCTCTCCGCTTTCAGGTTGTTTTCCAGGTTCTGGGTAGGCAAGGCTGACAGAGAGTTCGCGCTTGCAGAAGCAGTGCTCAAGTGGTCATACGGGTGAATGATGGAAGAGACACGCGATAGCAGGCAATCTTTATACTGTACATGATTACTCACTAACATGCTCTAGGAATCATTGAGGATACAGATTATTGATTGCTCGTAGTGAGATACCGACGAGTGACTCCTGCAATATGTTCCATAGTATGTACTGTAGCCCTTGTGGCCGCATTCCTCAGCATCCGTCGCTGTCGTCATTTCGCCGGCTTGGGCAACTGCGATGACCCAAAGTACCCAGCAAGTCCCCGTACACCCACCACTGGCGCTCGCTATACGTTGCCGCGACATGTAGGCCCAGGCCTGCTAGGCACCGCAGTAGCGGCCCGTCCACAGCGCCTACCTCTGGTACAACGTCCGCTATCAGAGCCTGCCCCTCGCTCTGATTACGAACCTTGAGGGTGACCTGAAGGTATTACCGCCTGCAACCAGGTCGAGCTTACTGGGCGACTTCTATCTGTCTATCGGCTCGCAGCATCTGGACAAGCTCCGGAGATTCTCCTCGCCGCCGTGACTTTGCTGCCTTCTGCACTCTCCCATTTTGGATCTCGTTTGTCAGCCTGTATCTTCCGTCCCTCCCAGCACTACTTGATTCTGTGACGGGCTTTTTTTTCACCTGTTCTTTTACATCGTCAGCTGCTTCGGCGATCGTGCGAGAGCAGAGTAAGTGCTGGACAAGATAGGATTGGGCCTCCCACCGGGACCTTGATAGCTAACGGAGGTGCAGAGGCCATCGGATCGATCCCCAGGTGCTTCGGCTGCTTCCCTTCTCTCGTACACCCGCTCGTCCGCCGCCGATACTAGAGCTTTCCCGGACCGGTGTCCAGCTACCCCAAACATGGCTGACGTCGAAATGAGTGACGCTCCGGTGGCCGCAAAGAAGGCTGACGGCGTCAGCGGCAAGGGAGGCGAGAAGAAGAAGTTTGAGGTCAAGAAGGTACGTTGTGTTGCTGTGGCCGTGCCTAACAAATCGTGGATCCAGCAGATACTGACGGGCATGGGCAGTGGAACGCCGTTGCGCTTTGGGCTTGGGATATTGTCGTCGACAACTGCGCCATCTGCCGAAACCACATCATGGACCTCTGTAAGCCGCTGTTCATCGCCGTGCGCCGTCTGGATGTCTTTCTAATGCTCGCCAGGTATTGAGTGCCAGGCGAATCAAGCCTCTGCTACGAGCGAGGAGTGCACCGTCGCTTGGGGCATCTGCAACGTAAGCCACGCATTCACCCAACTCACGGCCCTACGACGATCCGTACCAACGAGGCTAATACTTGTGTTGCTAGCATGCTTTCCACTTTCACTGCATTTCACGATGGTTGAAGGCCCGATCAGTGTGCCCCCTCGACAACAGAGACTGGGAATTCCAGAAGTACGGTCGATAAGCAACGATTGCACGGGGCGAGAAGCAAATGGGGAAGGACAAACAAAAAAACAGGGAGACATGATGAGATTGCAGGGAGACTCGCGGCATAACATTTCGAAAATGAATTTTGAGTTACATGCTATTCTAGACAGCATCCCGCATCGCCGGGCCTTGATCAGCCGTCATGTCCCGCCCGTGTTGAATGCAGACCCGGCAGGCAGCCACTTGACCGGGTTCCTTTTGTAGAAGGGCCATGGTGGAATGACGACGAGGAACGTCAGCACCGTCCCGCCCAGTCCGACGTATACGCACTTGACGATGTCTTGCAGGATGTATCCGACGTTAAATGCGATGAGCTTGATTCGAACGTGAGCAAATGGGATCGAGTACTCGAGGCTTGGGGGGGAGGAAAGGTCTTTCATACTCCTGTCAAGGCAAGGAGCAGGGTCGCAAAGCCCTCTGCTCGCCGTTGGCCTTCAAAGTCCTGTTTCGAGATATGCAAGTCAGCTCGATATCCGTCGTTGTGAGGCGGAGTTATGGTGTCCTGACTATTTGGCCCTCGACCACGTCTCGCAGCTTGTCCAGCAGCTCCTCCGCCATGTTGCGCGACGATGCCTGCCCTTTGTATTGATGATTCCTAGTATAGAATGATCTCGTAATCGATGCTATTGTTGGTGGTAATGCGGGGAGACGTGCAGGCGAATTGGAAGAATATGATGTTTCGTTCTTGTCGTTAGATGGCCATGCTCATGGCTCGTCGCTGCGACGGAGAGTTACTGTAGACACGTCTTTGGGAGGATGATGCTTGTGGCGCAGGCATGTCTCAACAAGGTAGGACTGGTGAGGCTTGGGAATGTTGGTGTGGCGGTGCAGACACTGATGAGTGCACTGCCAGCTTAACCTGGACATTCTTGAACTTGGCTTCTAAAGATGGACTGCCGGCTCATTACAGGGATGATAATCAGTTAATGTACATAACGTAATCGGATGTATCGATAGGTTGGTTCCCGTCGCTTTGCGTGCAATGCTAACTTCTAGAGTCGATTCCGATATACGTACTACTTCGAGCATTGCCCATATAAGCATGCTCTAGAGTCAGATAGAAGCAGGTCAGTCAAGAGCACCTACAGCACTGATACTGGCAGCAACGATGGGAAACACCACGATGTCAATTTGGCGATACACCAAGCGTGATATTAAGGAGATATTTCCATCAGCTCACCAGATCGTATCATCGACTGCCCAAGCAAACAGGGATTCGGCTCGGCAGAGCGAAAGCGGAGATGATGCTGACCCTGGCAGCGCACGGCGTCTTGCGGTGGCAATCTCGAACGCCTTGACGCGGGGGATATGGTTTGTTCATGCGAGTGACTAGATGATCTTTCTGTGTGAGATCATTTGTCTCTCCCTTGGCCTTTTGAGCGTTGCTGTTTGCATGTAAGCCTGAGTGACTCACTGGTTGAATGAGGCTTGCTGAGCGCTGTCTCATTTGTATTTAAATACCTGGTACATGTAGGGACCTGCTATCAAGCCTCCATGGTCTTCCTATCAAGCCTCCATAGTGTGGCTAGGGTTTGTGGCTAGAAGTCCGATTACAGCGCTGCCACACGATTTTCGCTATGAGTTAAGTAGTCACACTTCTTCTTAAAGAACTGCTGCACGCCTGATGAATTATCAGTAGGTATAACCTTTGCATTTCGGTGCCCGGCTCATACATATCGCAGGTTGTTAGCCGCCGTTAAAGTCATCACGACCGGTGCTGTTAACCGCGGCGCTGAGCGACTGATGCATTGATGGACAAGAACTGATGAAGACAGTGTGCACCAAGTTTAGTACCTATGCAAAGCGCTGGTAAACGCCGGCATCAAGTCGTCCTTAACAGTTAGTGCGATACCCAGCCACACCATGGAGGCCTGATAGGAAGACCATGGAGGCTTGATAGCAGGTCCCTACATGTAGTAGGTACTCGCTGTATTACCAGAGACTGGACTTTCACATGCTTGTCGAATATACTGGTACCTAGGTAAGTAGGTATGTACTTGTGCCTTGCTTCCACTGAAGATTGTGTGTGTCACCAGCCAAATCCAGATCCAGTCCTTGTACGTACGAGTACGTACAAACACTTGACCTTGCTCCGTCCGCTGCCGAGCTGTTTCAACCAAATTCCCTATTTGATTCACCGACTCACTCTCCTCGCAAGTCACTGGGTACTCTTCATCCCCTTGACCTGAGAACTTGAGGCCCGACGCCTGCCGTCGTCTTCAGGTTGGGCCTGTGTGCCCACCGGCTGAATGTACCTCAAAGTTAAGGTGCGGTACCGGTCACCTATCAGAAGAGGCTGATTGGCGAAGCGCTACTCCAGATCAGATAGAATCATCAAGAGACAGTATAGCGTATGTCTTAACTGAGCTAAAGTAACATGAGATGCCCCAGCGGCTCAACCCCGTACCCCATACCTCGTGCCCTCTGATTATCTACATGTACAGACAAACAATTGAAGACGCCCCCAAAAGGCCCCCCCAAAAAAATCCCCCAAAAATTTCCCCAGCGCTCTTCTTCGGCCTGGCCAAACCGGTTTAGCGACCAGCAGCTGATTTTCGTGGCGGCGGGTACCTCGTACCTCATAGTACCTAGGTAAGGTACCTACTGGCTGGTGCCTCTCTGTGCTGCTACAAGGGAAAAATTTCGTTCTCCTCGCCCCTAAAAAAAGTCAGCTAATGGGGGAAAGTTCCTTGCTTTTCGGCCCTGAACCGTTTTTTTTTTCCTTTTCCTCTCCTCAACCCAATCGAAAACCTTTTGTGTTTTCTTCTCTCCTCCTCTCCATTCTGTTTGAATATACCCAGTCGAAAGCACATCTGCCGCTTTCTTCTCTCCCTCCCCTAATTTCAGCAGCCCTTGACGCGTCTTCTCGGGCTCTCCAGCACGTTTATTTTTCGCTAAGCTGATAGCGTTATAAACCCCGTCGTTTCTCCTTGCGGCGCACACATCAGCCCTTTGACTGCGCCGCAAACGAAAAGAGACGCTTCGCAGCATCTCCTTTTTTTTCTTCTTCACTCGCCGTCAACTTTCTCTCGACAAGCACCGATTTAATTCGTCCTCATTCTTCCCCTTCCATCCGCCATTCGATCGATCACCCCGACAAGCTTCTGTTAGGCCAACGCTCTATCGTTTGCCTGCCTCGTTCAGGGAATCCCTTATTCCCTCCCGAAAAGCCTCGCTTCTGCGCATCGCAGACTTGTCCCCGGAAAGCCTTCAAGTTGGCTCAACTCGCCTCCCCGGTCGTTGTCTTCCCCTCGCTCCTCGGGCCCGGCTGCTGGGTCTATAGCGGAGTCAACAAAGAACCCCCATAAGTTGGCTTGCTGATACTCAATCGGTCGCCAATTCGCATCTGCTCCCTACATCCTTTCCCGTAGCTCCCGCCGGCTACAAAAAGACGGGGGAAATCACAAGACAACCTTTCGATTTCGAGGACCCAGGGTCTTCGTTTTGTTTCGAACCAACTACTCGGCGCGCCTCTGCCGCGCCGAGAGGGCACTTGACGGCCTGTCCCAGGCTTAAAGCGTCAGAGAAAGCATCGCCAAAGCATGTTCCAGAACCCTTAGTTTTTTATTTGCCAGCAGGCTTCGTCCGAGTTGCGCGGTGATTTAGTTTCGATACGATACCCAAACCGCTCTTATTCTTGTCTCAGCTGAGAAGGCATCCATCAACGGAAAAACCCAGGATACCCCCATCATGTCCGAGCCGGAGGAGATGTTCCCCGACGTGGGAGGGTACGACACCCCTGTTCCCGAGCTCGACGACCATCGACAGCATTCGTCCGCCCAAAGAGTTGAGCGCCCGCGCCGAGGCACCTTTGATAGCCTGTACGGCGCGCGCCATCTCGATGCCGAATCTGAGAACCCGGCCATCCGCGTTCGCGACTTCGAAGAGGCCATCATCGACGAAGAGGGAGATAATGTTCAGCCCATGCCGCGGCTTGGGCGCCGCCCAACCGTGGAGTCGTCGCAGGATGGTAGATCCATCTCGCCCCCCAACTCGGTCAAGGCCTTCGCAGAGGCTCGACGTAGGGAGCGCGAGATGTCCTTCTCCGAGGCCAAGAACGATGCTGAGGAGCCCCTCGGTCGGACAATGTCCATTTCGAGTCGCCGGAGCCTCCGAAGCCGCACTCACGCCGACGACGCTGACAACAGGAGCTTCTTGACCAACAAGACAGCCGAGGAGGACGTCTGCTACCCTCTCCAGGAGAAGCACTCCAAGCAAAACGAGCTCCGGATCGACTTTGACTATCTTGAGGACTTTATCGCCGATGAGAGGGCTGAGCGGGCCGCCCGGGCGGAGACTCCCGCAGAGGGCTTCAAGGACTTGCGACGCACCTCTACTCTGCCAAAATCGCAAATGGCCACGGTGGACGGCGACATCCTCGAGATACCCTCCGACGACTCCACGGCCAATGAAAAGGTCTCGGCCCAGGCGAGCGAGGTCCCAAAGATGCCGTCGCATCCCGTGGACAACACGCGCTTCAGCTTCTTCTCCTCGGCGTGGGAGTCGACGATTCACGCCGCAGAGATGGGCGATCTCGTGCTCCCGGGCGAGGATATCCGAGGGCTCTTTCAGCTGCCGGCGGACGAAAGCGGAGTCTGGTGGCTCAACGTGAACCATGCCACCAAGGAGGAGGTGTACGGCCTCGGCAAGGCGTTTGGCGTTCACCCCTTGACGATTGAAGACATTGTCACGCAGGAGGCCCGAGAGAAGATTGAGCTCTTCCCGTCGTACTACTTTGCGAGCTTCCGGTCCTTCAACGTCGTGGACGAACCCGATGGGAAAGAATACGAGCCTTTCAACATCTATGTCATTGTGTTCCGAGAGGGGACGCTGAGCTTCAGCTTTGCGCCCAACTCCCATGCGTCCGAGGTTCGTAAGAGGATCACGGCCCTTAAGGACTATGTCTCTCTCAGCAGCGACTGGATCTGCTACGCCTTGATGTGAGTATTGACTTGAAACAACGGAACGGTCATTCCTTTGGTGGTTGTGGTGCTAACACAAAGGCGGCCCAGTGACAACATCGTGGATAGCTTCGCGCCTGTCATCAACCAGATTGAGCATGAAGCCGATGCCATCGAGGACGAGGTGTTCGTCATGCGGTTCGACGATTCCAACACGTTTCTGCGGTCTATTGGACGGGTGCGGAAGAATTGCATGGCCCTGCTGCGACTCCTGGGCGGCAAGGCCGACGTCCTCCGCGGCTTCACCAAGCGCTGCAACGAGAACTACCAGGTGACGCCGCACATGGACATTGGCATGTACCTGGGCGACATCCAGGACCACGTCGTGACCATGGCCACGAACCTGGGCCACTTTGAAAAGATTCTGTCCCGCGCCCACAGCAACTATCTGGCGACGCTGTCCATCAACAGCATCTCCCAGGGGACCGACATGAACCGGGTGCTCAGCAAGATTACCATGCTGGGCTCGATCCTGGTTCCTCTGAACCTGGTCAGCGGCGTGTTTGGAATGAACGTGCATGTGCCATTTGAGACGGTTGGCAACCTCGGGCCCTTTTTTGGCATCATCGGCTTCATGGCCGTCCTCTGCATCTTGTTGATTACCGTGGCGAGATGGAAGCGATGGATCTAATGAGGGCAGTGTGTTGTCGTCGTCGTCGTCGTCGTCGTCGTCGTCGTTGTCGTTGTTGTATGTAGCAAGTGTGGTATATAAAAGGGGGCCCCTGTTTTCGTTTCTCTTCGATTTGGTCCTCTTATCATGTCAGGATTCCTTGTTGGCTTATTTTTTGGTCCAGGGGGGCTAGGAGTAGAACGGGCACGATAGACTCGGGAAGCATTCTGAGGCGTGTGGTCATGTTGATATAGCCTTTTCTTGTAATGTGGTAACTGAACTGTACTATGTGGCTTCATTTTGTTGCTGTTTCTCGGTCAAGAAGCTGTGACGGACAAGATGAATTCCAAGGCATGCTGATCATCTTTGTCTTTCAGATCATTCCAAGGCTGAATCTATGAACCCTATATGAATTGAGCATCTTCTACATCTTTGTGTAAGTGTCATGCTTTATCATCAGCTTCTCTAGAGGAGAAGTTCGTCCAAGCCATCGCCAAGTGTGGAGACGCCTTTCTCCCCTCTCATTCGCCCGCGCAATTAAACACCCGACCCTTCGCCGGCGGAAAAAAAAAACATCATCACTCATCAATTCTTCAAGATTGACGCAGCTAAAACACTAATATCCTACAGGCTTTCCTCTCAAGAATACCACAGCTTGCTGCGACTCTCAACCTGTATCAATTGTCCAAAATAAAAAGAAAAGAAAAGAAAGAAGGAGAAATTTTCTTTAAGACGACACAATGAACGCCGCGCAGACGGGAATCGAGAACCTCGACCTCGAGAAGCTCAACGACAAGGACAAGACGGAGCTGCGCCAGTTCCTCGCGAATGAACAGCAGCGATCCCAGATTCAAGCCCGTACGTTGCTCATTATGCTATTAGGCAATTCTCTTGCATTACACCCCCCTTTGGGATAGATGAGAGGAAGGTGATATATGGATTATGCTGACGATCTGGATGATTGGGGGGAGGAGCAGAGACACACAACCTGACGCAGATTTGCTGGAAAAAGTGCGTCACGGGAAGCATCAAGGGGGCGAAGCTGGACAAGGGCGAGGAAGGGTGCTTGGCCAACTGCGTGGATCGGTTTCTGGATATCAACTTCTTGACGATGAAGCATTTGAATAACATGCGGTCATAAGACGGGCGATGCGGAGAAGGAGGGTGTACGATCATGTTGTGTGGTATAGATCTGATGAATCTTTATGTGGATCAACTCTTGTTTCTACTCATGATAAACGAAAAGGGAAAAAACAGTATAGAAGACAGGATGAAGGCGTGAGTTTGGAGGGCGCCGTAGTAAATGCCACAGGCATGGCATGATTCACGAAAACAACAAACATGTACGACTTTTACGCAGTGCGGATTCAATACGTCGCAGATATTCGGACAGCAAAGATGTCATCACTCTCCGTCTTCATTTATTCTTTCCCTCTCCTCTCCCGCGGATCGGTACGTGGACGTCTTTGCATATGTATATCATGATATCGATCCGTATAAAATTGACAAAGCTTCTCAACTCCCGTAGTTTCCGATGCCCAATGCTTTTTATCCCCTCTTGCGGCCTGTTGTGCCATTCAAGACCCAGACCACTTCCGTTGCCGAAAGAAAGATAAGAAAAATAAAAGACGAGAATAGATGACCTCTGCGCTACAACAAAGATTTATCCTTGCTTAGACCAGGGACAGCTTGTTGGCGGCAATGTCGAGGGCGTCGACATCGGGGGTCAGGCGGGCGTAGGCCTTCTTGGAGCCGTCGGGGCTAGCAAATCACACAAATATCAGCATGAGATCATCCTTGTGGCGCCTGTGAGTTAGATAGAAAAAAAAGAAAGCCAAACAACATACCGGATCAGGGTGTTGATCTTGACGGTGTCAATGTCGTAGAGCTTCTTGAGGGCCAGCTTGATCTGGGCCTTGTTGGCCTTGACGTCGACGATGAAGACCAGGGTGTTGTTCTCCTCCATCTTCTTCATGGCGCTCTCGGTGTTGAGAGGGTGGATGATGACCTTGTGCTCATCCAGGCGGGGGACGTGGTTGATGGCCTTGCGAGGGTAGCGGGGAGCGCGCGACAGGACCAGGGTCTTGGGGCGGTGGAAAGAGGTGCTCAGTCGGACCTTGCGGTTCTTGGTGGAGTGAGTCTGTTTGGACAAGTCTTAGCAAAAGCTGTTCCCGCATCATGATGCGTCTCGGCTATGGGAAAAAAAGAAATCACTTACACCCTTGAGGGCAGCCTTGGCAGCGGCATTGGCCTGCTTGGAGCCCTTGGCGGCAGCTACATGAACAACTACGCATCAGCAATCGCTCTTATTCAGAACTCGCAAAATCTGCTGCTGCATGATGCTTGCGCGGGAGATTTGTGGGTGAGAGCCATGTCGTGTCTTTTGTGTGTGTCGTCGATGCGCTTCGCTTCGCTTCGTTTTCGCAAGGGGAGAGTGTGAAAAGAAATAACGAATGTGTTGCTTCGGCTCTTTCGACGACGACGACGACGATGACACGACGACTCCCTTTTGTTCAAGTCGTACCTTTCTTGTTAGCGGGGGCCATTGTATCGGCTTTGGTGTCGAGATATTGCACTGGGCGGGATTGGTGCGTTGAGGAGTTTGTCGACTTAACGGAATAGCGAAAAAGAAGAAGGGGAAAAAAAAAGTTCACCAGATCAGCGAGAGGTGGTTTAATCGATGGTGTGGGCGAAATTTGGGAAAACGATTAGGGCTCCAGCAAGCGTGCGCTGTAATTGGCCGATTTTGAGCAAAAGTCAGGTGACCTCTTCCACGAGCATCATCGCAAGGTTTTGGCGAGTGCACTAACCGCTTTCGGGGCGAGTATTTATAAGTAAAAGTGTGTTCGATATCTATGGTATGGCCATACTCGTCTATTTTGGACAGACGTTCCTCTTCTCTACACGCCGAGGAGGCGAAATCCTCGCATCAACATCTCACTCGAATCACGCAGCGACGTGACCGGCCCCCGATCGGGTTACACGATGCATATTCAACGCTGAACGGCTAGCATTGCGACGGCCAGGATCGCGGACATCTTTTCATTCCTTTACTTTCCACCAGCCGTCCCACGATTCTCGATTCTGTGGCAAGATCCAGACCCAAATTGCGTCTCCTCGCCAGCAGCCTTGGTACACAGCGGGACCATACCCTCGTCCACTTTGCAGATACGCCGGGAGCACAGCATCGAAGAGAGGAACCATGGCCGCCAAGAAGAAGGCGTTGACTCGTCTCTCCCAAGGACGCCCGCCGCTTGCTACACCGTCACGGTCCATGACGCGCAAGGCAAGCAGGACACTGATCAACAAGCACCACCAGCTTGAAAAGGCTCGAGCAAGGGCGGTCCAGAGCGGCGACAAGGCAACAGAAGCCAAGATTGCAGCCGAGCTCGAGAAGCTGGGAGGCTTGGGTCACTACCAAAAGGCCAGTCTACAGGGACAAAGCATCGACAGAGGCGGCGACACGTCAAAGGTCCTCATGGAATGGCTGCCGCTGGCAGAACTCAAGGGGCGGCCTCAGCCTCTGCAGATGCTCGAGGTTGGGGCGCTCAGCACGCGCAACGCTTGTTCGACAAGCAAAGTCTTCAACGTGGAGCACATTGACTTGAACAGCCAGGAGCCGGGGATCCAGCAGCAGGACTTTATGGAGAGGCCATTGCCTGAAAACGGCAAGGGACTGTTCGACATCATCTCGCTGAGCCTGGTTCTCAACTTCGTCCCCGATGCAGTCGGCCGCGGCGCCATGCTTTTACGGACACTGTCATTTCTGAGGGCCGACGTCGATACCGCCATCACCACCGAACCTCTCTTCCCCTGTCTCTTCGTCGTCCTGCCGAGGAGCTGTGTTGACAACTCGCGATACTTTACGGACGACAAGTTTGACGAGCTGATGGCCGCTCTCGGTTACACGCGAGTGAGAGGCAAGAAGACGCAAAAGTTGGCATACAGTCTGTGGAGAAGAGTCACCGGAGTGGTGAGGCCAGACCTTGCGTTCCCAAAGCAGGAAGTCAACCCGGGAAAGACGAGGAACAACTTTGTCATCACTCTCAAAGGACAGCAGACATGACTGGTGGAGCAAGAAAGCGAAACGACAAATGCGATCTTTCGAATCACACAGCAAAGCATCCAACTCAGGACGGAGTACGCACACCCCCGAGCCACATCAGAGCCCCTCCAAACTCAGTACGGAGTATGCGCCGACTAGACGAACAACTTCATGCACTAAGGCCCAACAACCTCGGGTGCGGAGCATCAGGACATATTCGATAGACCTTGATGTCCCTTGGGTTGCGTTTTTTTGGAGGAGAAGCGTCCCTTGGGTTGCGTTTTTTTGGAGAAGAAGCCAGCCACACTGACCGCCTAGGAGCACTCCCTACCTCGCCCTCCACACGCGCGAGTCGACATACAAGTGCTACAACCTCGCGTCGAGAGATGGCGGTCAACCGCTTGCCCCCCCGCATGGCTGATCCCACAAGCGACCCATTCACGTACATTGCGCTTCATTCCTGGTCCGATTGTCGACACATCAGAATTCCCGGTGCGAAGCTGCAACCATCTAGCGATGCGAAATTTGAACACCTGACTCCCGGACCCTTCCCCCGCTACAAGTTGATTCGTGAGGGTGGGCAGCGAGGATTTTGGGAGATGAAAGTCGAGCCATCTTTTTCACCAATTGTGTTACACTCGTCAATGCACTCCCCGACGGCTTCCGATCTATTCATTCTATCCTATGTCGACACTTTGGTTGCAATGGCGGCTGCGGCCTGGGCAACGGAGGCCGGAGTGAACTCGGAGAGGGCAAACTCAGTCAGCGGGTGATGGGCTGGCAGCGGCGCGTTCCCCGGTCTGACGGCCGGGACACTGTGCATGCCCGACTGGCGAGCAGCGTCCACCTCGTTGAGGTTGTCGCTCAGGAAGATCCAGCGTGCGGGGCTGACGTCGGGATAGTGAGACAGGATAGTGGTGTAGCTAGCCACGTCGGTCTTGGGCCCCGCATTGACGGTGTCGAACCAGTCAGAGATGAAGACGCTCATGTCGGCGGGTTGGGCGGTCGTGTGAGCAAAGAAGAGCTTCTGGGCCGGGACCGATCCGGACGAGTATATCATGATCTTCTGGCCGGCCGCATGAGCATTGGTGATGAAGGGTGGCACGTCAGGGAAGAGTGGAGCCTTGAGGACGCCGGACTCGTATCCCTTCCTCCAGAGGTAGCCCTGGAGCGCCTTTAGGTACGGCGCCTTGACGTCTCGGGCCACCAGGTCCCGAACGTGAGCCTCGAAGGCGCCGCGGTCGTTGCGGTACTCCTCAGGGAAAGCGTTGCGGTACTCGGCAAAGCTCGACTCGTCCCACTGCTCGGCCAGGAACGCGGGCAGGACTTGGAGGGCATAGGGGAACTGGGAGTTGGACGGAACAGGTCCATCCGAGGTCAGCCACAGCGGTTGGGACGGCGACAAAAAGAAACAAAAAGACGACAAATGTGCGCGGGTAACAGAAAGCAAACACAAGTGCCAGTACGAGCACTACTTGGTGCAAAGTACGTACTATTAGGTCGTACTTGTGGTGTGCGCGAATAGTGTGGTTGAGCAAGGAGCTAGGCCGTCGTTGTTGGGGTAAAGCAGGGGTGGGCTGGGTAGTCTGGGATATGGGCAGACTCGATTGGCTGCCGGACAAGGATGGCCGAACCGCGATTAAACGGGGACAGCGAATGCAGAGCGACGCCGCCGAGGGTTGAGGGGGGTCGGATTGGTGACGAATGAGGACGGGTCAAGGGACAACTCACCAAGACATCCTTGACGAAGGAGATGGGACAGACGGTGCCCTCTGCATGAGTGAGCAAAAGGTTGCGCGATAAGCATCAGCTGGAGGACAGGACGAGAGCTTTCGATCAAAGAGGGAGGGAGGGAGGAGGGGGGGAGCCAAAGCAAGACAGAAAGCAACCCGTGATTCGATTTCGCGCGAGCTCGTTTGCTCGCCACGTTGATCAGCCCGGGGTAAGTGGGGGAGGGGGCGCCGTACCAATGTCTAGCAGGATAACCTGGAACTGCCCAAAGTCTGTCTCGCCAGCCATCTTTTTTCTTTGCTTTCCCGCTGAAGCCGCCTCTTTTCGCTTTGTTTGCTCTGGAGAATCTGGTGTGTCTCTGGCAGGGATTGAGTATAAGTCTGCAGGGAGCTGAAAGACGCAGGCGGTGAGGATGGCTGTGGAATATTCTAGGGGCGTGACAATGTGTGGACTGTAGCATTCAGGAGACTTGTTATTCACCTACCAAATCCGATGGTAATAAACGGCAACGAGTGAAAATGGCCAGAAATTTGCCCAAGGCTAGGGTTGCAATTTGTTGATCAAGGCGCAAGTTTAGAGGTGAGATGTCAATTATGAAACCTCGTATGGAGCTGTAGCTGAAGAAAAAGAGCCCAGGGTCCAACAGAGAAAAAGGAAAAGAAAAGAAAACTTTTTTTCAGTCTGTTCCCCTCAATTCAGCAAGTGGTTCTCTGACTTTCCTGTTTGGTACTCTTTTCCCTCGTGCAAAAAACTTGGCTTTTTTTTTCTTCTGCGCTACCCTGGAGCTGCACTGTAACCCGGGGGGAGGTCAAGGAGCTCGCCAAGACCCTTTTGATGTGCGACGAGTAGTACTTATTAGCAGCAGCCAGTTGCTGAACTTGATTGATTTGGGGAGCGCCGTTGGATGTGTTCTTTTCACTTACTCCTTCTGCCCAGCGTGAGACCAAGAGGCAAAGGGTACATGCTTGCCTTCTTGCTGCACTGTACTGCACTGTGCTGTATCCATTGTTAGGGGGGGCAGGTTTGGCATGCATTAGAGGCGCATGGAGGTGCGTCAGCGTGCAGACGTTTCCTACGATATCTACAGTACAGTACAGTGTTGCACAGTCTAGGTAGGGCGGTCAGAGAGGAGGATTTTAGGGATGATGAACATTTGTATGAGAGGTTGGTGTTTTGATTTGTTTGACCTTCTTATGTGTTTGTCGCCTTCTTGTATGAGTATTGATTTTCGCAATCAAAGATGATCTATTACTTGTTTTTCATCCTCTTTTTGCGTTCTTTTCTCGTTAGGTTAGCAGAGCTTGGATAAGCGAGGATGGGGATCGACCTCTTTTGCAAAGAGTTGTCCGCAGAAATTAATTGCCTCTCGGATCTTCAGTCATCGTATGTATGTATGCACAGATTGCAAAGTGCTATCTTGTAGAGCTTCGGCATGTGTGTAGGTACTTGATACTGCAGACAATGACACCACTCTGCGTCTTTGAAGCTCGTCATTTACATCAAGAGCAGGTTGCTGGAGTCAACTAGCGGGCACCTACTGTACTAAGCTAATGGCTACAAGTCACAATCTCCCATCGACTCACCTACCTAGTATTCGCAGACAGCGGCATCTTCCAAGGACCGTGTGAGTAATACTGCCGATTTGGTCCCTTATTGCGACCACCGGAGCCGAGATCAAAGATGGGGAAAACGGGGGACCCTACCTCATGTATCTGCTCCGTATCGCGGGCCTCCGTATCTATAGACTGCATGGTCGATAACGCACGGCATCCACCTATCGGATTGTGTGGTGGCATATCTACAGCAGGTCTAACGGGGCGTATGGATAAGGACGAGATGGAGACCGGGAGGAGATAGATACTAGTACATACATACATACAGCAGATAGATTGGCAGATTGGAATTGCCACTCTGACGGACTGTGGAAACAGAGGGAATCACGATGGAAAGAGACGAGGCCCTTTGATTGATTCATTTCGTATGGCTTCAGGACACGTTGCGGTTCGGCATTGCGCACAAGTACGAGTACACGTATATATATATACGTATTTTGCGGTGGGTAATCTGAAGTAATTGGAGGGTAACCACTGCAGGCTTGGGGGGGGTGCGCGATCAGGTTGAGTTTTTTTGGATCATGTTATTCATTTGGGAATGGGAGGCGATGGATCGAAATTTAAAACCCGGCGTACCTGGATTGGATGGATCCTCGCAATAATACTGTACATGATGATACTGGACGAAACGCTTTCGGCATTGAAGCAACTGTCAATTGCAGAGACGCCGTGATCCACCTGCTCATCGCGGCTCCATAGCCAGCCAACCCATCCCACTCGTTCCATCAATACCGAATCCGTCTCCGAAGGGACCTGGAGATGTTTCTATTCTTGTAACTTGCAGAGTTCCACCGAGTCTTTTGTACTCCGAGCAACTCTTGTAGAGACTGTACTGCACCTCTGTCCTGTGCTGTATTATCCAGTCCAGCGCTACGAGACACGATCTGCGTACAAGTACAGTGTGTATTAAGCCGTAGCAAATAAGGGGAGCTGGGGAGGAAGCATTCCTGACGCGCCCAAGGCAACCCCCCAAAAAGTCGAAACGGCCGTCCTTGTTTACTTTAGCCGGCTGGCTGGTTGACGCCCAGTCAAAGGGAAGCGGATGATTGGCGCGAGGGGATCGACGGATTCGGATTGGATGGTGGATGGATGGTCTGGTGTGTGAAGGGGGGGGGGATGATGCATCGGATGGGCAGCACACCAAAGACTTCGTTTCTCCAGAAACGAGGTGCTGCGAGAATGCATTCCAATCAAGTTTTTGGTCGTCTGTTGTTCTGCTTCATGTGGCAGTCGTGGGAATTTCGCAGTTGCAAGATGATGCAATTCTGTAGAAGGGGCCCCAGAGAGCTTGTCCCCCCCGGAAGGCAAAAACATAACATTCACGAACCAACAACATAACGAGTACAACAGCGCTGTCTGAGTCTCCTTCCCCCCTTCATCCGGGCCTCCCTGATCTACCTAATTGACGCTGAAACAAGCATCTTGAACCACACAGAGGTAATACATCCATGCACTCGTACGAGTACACACAAAACGTCAATGTTTCGAGTCAACCCCCCCCTTTTTGCACATCAAACAAGCGCACCAGATCCGTCGCTGCGGTTGGACGCATGCGAAGAGAAGTCCTGAGACAAAACGAGAGCTTTGAAAAGCAATGGCAACGCGTTCCTGTGCGGCATACTGTGTACGGCAGGAACGGCTCGTCGTTTAGGTACTCATCGATGTACTCCGTACCTTTACTGTACCAAACGATGCTTCTGTGTAGGAGTCGTCCTGATAGCAATAAGATGCCGTCTCGGGATTGATCCAATCAGGACCGGCATTGCACCAGTCGCCAGGACACTTGAAACGCCAGAGTGACAGCCTGAGGCTCGAACAATCCGCTGGTACAAGTAAAGTACCTTGTGTGCCTCGACCTGATGACCTAAGGCATCATCCTTATGCTATAATAAGGTACCTAAGATACTTGTAATTATGGACTGTGCCCAAGGTGTAGGTACGTACCTTATAAGCTGCAAATTGCCCAATCTCGTCAATCAATCACGAAGCCCGCCTTAGCTACAAAGTCTAATGACACGCGGCGACCGACGTGGCTTTTCTCTGCGGTACGAGCACCTGTGCGCGGAGCTGTATGGCGACCTGAAGTAGGTACTCCTTGGAGAATGGACGGGAAATCAGGTACTACCTACATCAACTCCAACTCTTTTTGGGGGGTGTCGATGGTTAAATTGGGGCTATTATGCCGTGCCAGTATGTGTGCAGTTGATGCCATCTCACGCCTTTTCTTGTCGGCCAGCAAATACAATGTCCAGAGACAAGTATCGGAACGGGAAGTGAATGCGTATGATTACTGTACCTACCTGCCATATGATAGCAACAACAGCTGGAGCCAGTCATTCATTCATACAACTGGTCGTGTGCCCTCGACGCTTGAATTCCCAAAGATAAGCTGCAGCAAAGGAGAAACGCGGGGGAGGACCAAGGAAGCATGTCAATTGGTGCCACGCAGCACTGCTGTCATGGTTTTTTTTTTTTTTTTTCTTCACCAAATCTGTCGCTTCGCTTCTTACTCTGCTGCTGCTGCTGCTGCTGCTTCTTCATGCTCGCCTGTCTGCGACGTGGACGGATGGCGATCCGCGGCCGAGATGCAGCAGCATCCACGGATGAGTTAACCGCCTGTAATACCTCACTCATCGACTCGTGTGTAAGAACTGTGCTGTACGGAGTATTACTTGTCTGTCTGTCTTGCTGCGTGTCTCTACAGTCCAGCACATGTACATACGTGGACATGCCGTGAGACTTGGGCGAATGATGGGCAGCCAGAGGCATTCGGGAGTTCTCTTGGTGCTGATGGTGTGCTTCCGGCCTGCGGACAGTTGAGAGCATAGGTACGCGTAAGGTGCCAAGGTACATAGTGTTCTCTAAAATAGTAGGTATCTCTATGTTTTAGAGCCATGTCCAACGAGTGTGTTCAGGTACTCATACACCTTCCGCTCAAGCTTCATCTTTATCAAGGTGACTGAACTGTTCGGGTTCATCCCCCCCCCAAAAAAAGGGAGGGCTTGATGAGAGTGTACAGTGTGACCATCACAAGAAATGACACTGTCCAGTCACGCTGACCCTCGTCATCTCGTCGTCTGTGGGGACCGCCACCTGGCGTGACTGCCCAGACGGGCCACGTTGGGAAACACTGCTCCAGCCTCTGGGGGTGCTGCTACTAAGCAATAGCGGCGCTTTGTCAGCGCCATCGGACGCATCTGATTGGCAGATCCACCTCTTCCCCGTACATACTGTAGGTACTGAACCCACTGTGCAGAGTTGCTCGTACCTGCGCTGGCTGGCTTGGGCATTGACACTGATGTTAGCGTCCCGTGTTGTCATGGAGGCCAAAGCGCTAACAATTGCGACTTGCCTTTTGGGGCACTTAGTACTCGGACCCTTCAATAGAGGTACTAAGGTACCTTAGCATTGACCGGAGTTGCGAGTTCCTCAGTCCCCATCAAAAACTCGTCTTCATTCCAAGGCATTGGACCGCTCGTTAGACTCCTTTTTTCCTTTTCGTCATCGCGGTTATGACTAACAGCACGTCACCCGCCAGCAATGCCGACTCATGAGTTCTCCGTATTCGGCACTTTGCGTGCTTGAGTTGCTGAGTTTGTTGAACGATCATGGCTCCAGCTCATTCTCCATGTTGCAACAAGTCCCAGCCATTGCGTGGTCCCTCTCAAGCGCTCACCGATGATACTTTGCTCGGGTGGCCGCCACGAGTTCCTCCTTTATCAGGCACAGTACGTGGCCGAAAACATGCTGGCAATGTCCTTGGCAAGTACCGCGCTACACCTCCCCCGAGGTACACGTACGAATAGCAACCGGCATGCAGCCCGTGAATGATGCGCCGGGCGTGGCCTGACCAGAGACACAAACACGCATGCCCTCCCCAACCGACATGCAAGCTGCAGTGCAGGCTGCAGCCACGGAATCCTGCACGAGGAGGTATTTCCGGTCGGGCCTATGTACATACATCTCATTCTCGCCCAGCAATGGATTCACTTCAATACTTGCAGTGTGTTGTTGCTGCCAGAGAGAATCTGGAAGTCTTTGATAATGGTACCTTGGGAGGTATTCGTAGTAGTAGTAATCGGTACGGAGCTGTACTCGTGCCACAAGTCCACCGCAACGTGGCCGGGGACCTGCGCAATGCCTCGTGCGAACAAAGCCCGCACGGTGCTCCGCAACGGGCCACGCGTGACAACTTTGCACACTCCCTCTCAGCAGACGTGAAGCCCGAAAAGGGTCCAGAACTGGCTTGGCTGGGCTGCACGCACTATGTACGAAGGGGGGAGGGGGGGGGGGCCTTCGTGGGCTCGTGGGCTCGGAGGACTCCGTAGGGCGAACGTCGTCGAGGCACGGGAGGATTGCGGAATCGAATCGCACGGTGCCCAACAAGCAAAAAAACAACGTCTTGAAGAGGTGCAAAGTGCTTGAAGATGAGTGCTTTCACGGAGTACTCGTATGAGAGTAGGCACTTCTTGCATGGGCCCCAAACACCGTGTTTGAAGCCTGGAGCTCGTACTGATACCCAACCTCGCTGCACTGCCTGTGTGAGTGCCTGTATACTAGTTCTTGTACCTTGAATGTACAGCAATACTGTGCATCGCATCGTCCCATACCTATGCAGCTCTGCTTGGGCCATTCAACATACGGTTCTTTGTGTGCTGCATGCCTTGATAAGGATGCCTACCTTATTACCTACCTACTTTACATACCTATGTAGGTAGTCTGTCCGAGTCTCTTGTTTGTTGATTTGCGCAGCTAGGTAGCCTGATATGTGGCCAGATCGAGTCCCTGTCGATTCGAGTATCTGTCCTCGGTCGTACTCGTTTTCAGGTCGAGTGTACTGTGATGAACCAGAACTCGAATCCAGGCGGCACGCACCTTGAGGGCCGTGCCTATGTATGTGTACCTTAGGTACCTCGGCACATGTACATGCCTACAAGCACTGTACAGTAGGTACACTCTAGCGCAGTGGCCCAGCACACCTGGGCAGGTACTAACTGCACGGCGTGCTGTAGCGCCCTCTGGCAGCATCGCAGCGCCTTCAATGGGACGCAGGCTAGCGGGCTAGTGCGCTGCCCCACCACCCCCGGCGCCGCTGCTGGCAGGCAAGCAGGCTCTCGTGGCTCGTCCGCTCCTGCTTCCAGGCACTACTAGAGTACCTACCTACCTAAACAACGCGGCAGCCTGCAATAAGGTGTACATACATACAGGTAAGGTAGGTACCTCAGGTTAGGTACCGCTAGTACCTTACCTCAACGCCGTATGGGGTACTGGGTACGTACCTGCCGCCCGCCGCCGTGCACACCCCCGTGCTTCCACCCTCTTCCACGGCCTCTTTACTCATCCCCCCCAGTCCAGTCCAGTCCAGTCCAGTCATTCCCTTTTCCCTCTCTCTCGTCTTCACCCTTCCTGTTCCCATCCATTATTACTTGTACCTCTTCATTCCCGTCCCTCTCCCCCATATCCTCCTTCCCCCCTGGCACCGCACTGCTGTCCTCGACATCTTCCCTCTCAAAGGCCTTCTTTCTCCTCGAAGCTTGCGTCCGTCGTCAATCTCAGTCTTCGTCGACTTCTCTTCCGCCATCTGAGCCTTGCCTCGGCATCGCACTGCAAGTGATCTCGTCGCATCGCATTCGCAATCGCAAGTTCCTCCCCCAAGCCAAGCCTCGACCCGAATTCGCCACCTCGACGAACCCTCGCAAGCCTCGTCCAGCCAATCCGACTTGACCGGCCCGCCGCAACCGACAAACTCCTGCAAAAGTCGTCGAGAGAAAGAAGGGTCCCTTTGCCCTGCTACTATCCCCCACCCTCTCCCTCCACCACAGCGGTCTATCTTAGCAGCCAGCGCCTCGCCATCTTCCAGTCCTCATTGACCTTTGCCGTCGACACCGCAAGCGCAGCTCTGTCAGCGTCCATCGTCGTCCCCTGAGCGCCGTCTGTCTAGCTCACTGCCTTCGCCGCGCCAGCTGCCTCGGCCCTCCGCCCGTCGTTTGGTCATACCGGCCCCGGTCTCGGCCCGCACTCGACAAGCCTTCAGTCAATCCCCTCGTCGAGTCACACACCGCGGATAGGCACAGCTTCTCTTCTCCCCAACAGCGGCCTTTTACCAGAAGCTTCCCTCACCGGCTCAACCGCGCTCGCGAACTCTGTTGCATCTCCTTCGCCTTGGTTGAGTCACCCCCTTTCAGCGAGAGCTACGCTCCGCTTACGGCCACCGCCTCGGTTGGTCCGCCTCGTTGCTTCACTCTCGACTGTCACATCTCCCTCTCCGTCCTCGACTTTCCCCCTCGTCTTCAGACTCTCTCGCCCACCTCTGCCTCTCTTGACGGACCCGACCCTCGCCGTCATTCTATTGTCGACAGCCACCATTGCAACCAGGCAATAATCACCGCCTTTTATCAGTCGTTCATTGACGCACAACCCTCTCCTAACGCGACCTCGATGTCATCATAACGAATTCTCATCTCTTCCAAACTTTCTTCTCTATACGCAAGCCGCCCTTTCGGCATCTTGGCCACGGTTTCATCTCTTCGCGTCTCCTTTGTCTCTTTATCATCTATCAATTTTATTTATCAAATGCGAACCTGATACAACAATCATCACTCCATCGATCCACCAACTTCAGCAAAACCAACCAACAATCATCACGCGTGGCTACACCTGTCGTCTACCTCTTTCTTTTGTTCTCACGGCTTGTACATTTTCGTCGTTTTGTCTCGATTCGTTCTTCTCTCAACTGCTCTTGAGCAGTCTTCCTTCTCGTCTCTTTCCGGACCCTGCCCCGTCGCGACCTTGCTTGTATAGAAACGTCGAACGCTTCTTTCATCACAAGGCTGCGTCTTATTCACGATAAAACAGAAGGTCATTCATCGTTTCTTTCTTCTTTTTTTTTTTTTTTACGTATCTTGTTACCACACAAACTCCTGTATAAATAAGCTTGCTCCTGTTTCTGCGTCTGATTCATTCTTCTCCCTCTTGGTTCTTCATTCCTGACGTTTTTTTCCCGCCCTTCCATTACGATATTTTATTATTTCATCATCTTCAACCTTCGTCAGCATGGAATGCTTGAGGAACAAGTTTACTGGTGGCCTCCTCCTTGATGGAGGTCGCTACCAGACCATCTCACCACTCAACCACGGCTCTTTCGGCATGGTTTTCATGGCCCAGGATCTCGTCTCTAACCAAACTGTCGCCATCAAGTGTTTGACTAAGAAGTCTGCCGCTTGCGACACCGGTGTCGAGCTTGCTGTTGATGAGCGATCCGAGGAGTATGCCCTCCACAGCAGCCTTGGATCGCACCCAAACATTGTCAACCTGCTTGATACGTTTGAGACGGATGCTCACGTCTTCTTGGTCATGGAGTTCTGCTCCCAGGGCGACCTGTACGAGGCGATCCGCAACGGCCACGGACCCCTGGAGACCGAGCATGTTCGTCAGTTCATGCTCGAGCTGGTGGACGCTGTCGCGTACATCCACTCCAAGGGCGTCTACCACCGCGACATCAAGCCCGAGAACATCTTCCTCACCCAGGATGGCGCCATGAAGCTCGGTGACTTTGGCCTGGCCACCACCGACAAGTGGTCTTACGAGACCACTGTCGGCAGCGATAGGTACATGGCCCCCGAGCAGTTTGACTCTGCTGGTGCCGGATACTCGCCCGCCGAGGCCGACATCTGGGCCATTGGCATCTGCCTCCTCAACATCCTCTTCTCTCGCAACCCCTTCACCACCCCCACCGAGGCTGATCCCCTGTTCCTCGACTTCTCCCGCGACAAGCAGAGCCTCTTTGATGTCTTCCCCAGCATGTCTCAGGACACGTACGAGGTCATTGTGCAGTGCATGAACTTGGATCCCAGGAAGCGTTCCCTTGAGGGTGCCCGGGATGCCCTCCTTCGCGTCGTGAGCTTTACGACGGAGGACGAGAGCCTCGATGACTTTTGCGGTGCAGAGAACCCTACCCTTGCATCCGCTCATCGTGAGCCTCTTCGGACCCCGTCGATTCAAACTCCGCACGTGGATGGAGGCGCGTTCCCGTGGACCAAGGCGCTCAATGAGACCCCTGCTCGCCGCCAGCTCAGTGCCATCCCCGACGACGAGAGCTATAGCGAAGATCTCTTCTCCAAGTCTGGGGAGACCACGGACTGGTGCTCTGCCTACGTCCAGACTCCCTCGTCGTCCATCATGGACACGCGCGCTCTCGAGGCTCGCATGCGTAACTTTCAAATCTCTCGCCCGCCCCAGCCCAAGGTCTCCCCCACTGCTGGCTCGCTGCCCATTGCCATGGGCAAACCGTTCCCTTCCATGGCCTCCGTCTTCGGTATCCAGAAGGACACCGTCTCCAAGAGCTGGAGCGACATGTGGGACGAGGACGAAGAGGAGGAGCAGGAGCAGCAGCGGGTCAACGCGCTTAAGGAGCTCAACTCGCGCACCTGGAGCCACGAGAGCACCCACGAGCAGCCGACGCACAAGACGGAGCCCGTTGCCGCGGCGCACCTCATCAAGGGAGATGTGGACGACGACTTGGTCGCCGATGGCTTCTTCTTCCACGAGGCCTCGCCGTCGACCGGGCACCACGCCTTCACCATCACGCCGCGCTACTCTCCTCCCTCCAAGCGCGGCAACGGCGGCAACAACATCGACAAGTGGGCGGCGCTTGGTGAGCGTCGCAGGGGCCAGAACACGATTGGCGTCGAGCCGGAGAAGAGCCCGGGCTGGAAGCAGCGTCGCCATCTCGGGCTTGGATACAGCTACAACAGCAATGCCGGTCACCACCATCATCAATTCAACAACAATCACAACAAATCTTATGAAGCGGGCGTTTGGGATCATTTTTCTTCTTCACACCATAGCAATTCTTTGAACAACACTTTTAACTACAACAACAATGGCAACAATGGCAACAACAACAATCACGGCAAGGGCTGGAACAAGGATCGCCTCAAGGAGAATTCTTGGACAAAGGCCAAAGATTGGAACTGGCGCAAGGATAGGCGCACCGATCTAGGGGACGTTGAGTGGGTTGGCGGTTGGTAATGGGGGGCTTTTCCCTCCGTTTTCCCTTTAGTGAGGGGGGGCCTCTTCAACCGTCAATCGTGGTTAACGCCGTCTTCGTTTATCGCTGGCATGGGAGGATAGAAGGGAAGAAAAAAGTTTAACAAGGAGGAGCAGTTTGCTTGAAAAGCACTTGAGACCAGGATCATGGAAGAGCCAAGCGATTGTTTGCCTGTCGTCTCTGCATCGAGCCCACTTGTTTGAACCTTCTTGGGTTTGGGTTTGGGTTCTGCATTGCAGACGGCGGGTCGATCATCGCCATTTGGATTCTCATGATTTTCTTCAATGCTCTTGAGAACAAAAATCTTGTTGTTTTTGATTTTTGGGTTAAGAGCACTTTGAGGGCACTGCTGCTTTTTGCTTTTTCTTGTGTGGATGTGTGTTGTGTATGCCGGAGACGAAGGTGGCCTTGACTCGCTTTCTGCGTATCAATTATTGAACATGATAATAAATACCAGAGGTTACCCACTCACATCATGGTTTTCGTCGCATGTGATGTCCATTTGTGTTCCTCGACTATCACTGTGAAAGAAATGTATCCCATTCCATTCCCTTGAACTTACTAGCCTGTTGATTGTGAGTCTCGAGTCATTTGATCATGGAGCCTCGTAGGAATGAATTTGTTTAGTGTCGTCTCTACATGGACACCCCTTTTCATTATTGTCTCTTCTTACTTGAAATCTTTACTAGAATTGTTGTTCACCATGTGCAGATTGTTCAAGAGTTGAACCAAATGATTCGAGTGCACAAGTGTCTCTCTCTCAACCGTCAAATGCTTCCATTAGGCAAGTCAAGTAACATGCTATTGCACCATATATGAGGGATCCTAGACCTTCCTTTCCATTCAAAGGTAATAAAACGCCGTAAAATGCCAGTTCAAAGTCGCCCATCAAGCTACCGGATTTCTTAGGAAAAAAAGAAGACATTCATAATCACCCACATGATGAGAAATGCCCCGGATTAAAAGTCCAGTCAAGCTAAAGCACAAACAAGATTTCAGATCGAGATGGGGGTGGGAAAGAAAGTCATAAAAGGAAATCGCAGAAAGAAACCCGCCCCCCTTCGCAAGTGTAAAGAAGAACGACATCTTCATCAAACGCCAATCAAGTCCTTTGGCAAAAACGTCCACACCGTGCCGACGAGCCCGAGCACCGAAAACACCACCAGCAGGCACCACAGCACGAAGCGCTCCCGCGGCGCCACGTCCTTGGCGTAGAGCTTGAGGTAAAAGGCAATGGGCAGCACGATGGCAATGAGCGAGCAGAGGGCGGCGCCGAGGAATGCGCAGACGGAGTCAAAGGCCGGGAAGACGATGGAGATGAAGAGCAGGACGACGACGACGGCGACGCGGACGAGCAGGCGCTGACACGAGCGGAAAAAGGCGGCCGACGATGGTGACGACTGCTCTTGCTCTTGGTCAACACTATGATGTTGGTGGTGATGGGCGGGATGATGCAGGCCGCAGAGGACGTCGGCGGTGGTGATGAGCGGCCGGGCGTTGAGCGGGATCTTGGTCAGCGGGATGATGGTGACGCAGATGCACATGAAGATGGTCAGGCCCTCGGGGAAGCCGGAGCTCTTGATGATGTTGGAGGTGATGGCGTCGCTGATGCCGTCGCCAAACATGAGGATGCCGACAATGGCGAGGCACGTGTCGAGGACGTACTGCGAATCATTAGTTTGCTGATGCCCTGGAGTCTCGTCTCATTTTCGTCTCTTTCCCCTTCTCTCCCTCATCTGACGGTCCGCGTGGGAATAGGGGAATCGCAAGGTCAACATACAGAAAAGGAAAAAGTGATGCCGACAGCTCGTCCCCATTTATGAGGATGGCGCATATCTCGATAGATCTTGAAAGATATTACATGTTAGCAGCAGATCTAGATACACACAGATAGAACTGCGTCTATAGGGTCAAGGGAACATGGGCCTTCGTACCGAAGGAAAGACGGAGTGAGCACCCCATGGACTCAGCATCAGGCCGTATGCCAGGGGCACCGCCAGCCAATTCTTGGGCAAAAGGTGCGTAGCAGCAGGCTCCCACAAGGAGCCAGGGGTATCCGTCTTGAGGAGGCCATCGGCAATGACGACGCACACAACTAAGGCGGCCTTTGTCAGTTCTGCTCCATCAAGCCCGAAACAAGGGGGATATTCCAAACGGAAAAAAAAAAAAAAACACTCACTGCAAAACGTGGAAAAGATGCCAATGACGCTGGTGTAGCTCAGCCAGCGCAGCGGCATGGAGTTGAGAACGAGGACAATGGCGGCGCAGATGCACTTCCAGGCCTCGACGCTCGCCATGCCGGGCAGCAGCAGCGCAAGCGAGTCGGAAAACAGGATGAAGAGAGCCACGCAGGCGGCGACGAGCTCGAGGGTGAAGAGGGCCGACACGATGATGCGGGCGCGGGCGCCAAACGAGATGTAGGCCAGGTCCGAGTACGTGATGAGGCTAGCATCGTACTGCATGCACTTGGCCAGCAGGTTGGCGGTATGCGAGGTGACGGCGGCCGTCAGGGTGAGGATGCTGAGGCCGAGGATCCAGCCGCTCATCTTGAATGCCAGCGGCAGGCTCAGCAGGCCAATGCCGATGAGGGCGTTGATGGAGTTGAAGATGGACTGCGGCAGGGTGCTCTGGCCGTCGACGGTGAGGACGACCTTGTTGCCCTGCTTGACCTCCTTGACCAGGATGGGCTGCTCCTCGCCGAAGGCGGCGTCCTCTTCCTCCTGGGCCGCCTCCTCCTCGGCCTGGCCCGCCGTCCGGACGATGGAAGGCCGGCGGCGAATCATGGACGGCCCGCCTATGGTGCCGTAGCCGCTGCTGCGATACGAGCCGTAGCTGCCGATGATGGACGGCGTCGATAGATACGGAGACGTGCCAAAGATGCTGGACTGGGCGGACGCGCCTTGGAGAGGGCCGGTCCCGCCCATCTCTTCGTCGAGAGGCTTCCCCTCGCCATCTCTGTCGTGAGAATCGGCAACGTGGTTGCTCGACCCGGCAAGCGGGCTGCCCATGCGCGGCGACTCGCCCGCGCCGAGGCCGTCGTAGCTCGTCGAGAAGTCGGCGTCGTCGCCGGCCATGTGCTGCTGGTGCTGCTGGTGCTGGTCGGGGGCAAAGACGAGGCTCGGGCGGCGAGGGAGGACCTCGGGAAAGGCCGCGGCGCGCTGCCAGCTGCGGGCAAAGTTTTTGAAGCTGTTTACGCCGCCCACGTCTGCCATGGCGGCGAGACGGTCGGTGACGGAGGACCTGACGGCAGGGCTCGATTAATCCATTTAGCCATCGTCGTCGTCTGATTCGAGCAGCGAAAAAAAAAAAAAGAGAGAGAGAGAGAGAGAGAGAGGAGCAATTAAAAAAAAAAAATAGGGTCAGCTTACCGTCTGCCGCCGCCAATGTCTCGACCGTCGGGATGCGCGCCACCATGGTCAGCGTCATCAGCGTCATCGAGCAGCGGCCGGTCTTCTGCGAAGGGGCTCGACGAGACGCTGCCGGTGGGCGATGGCATGCCGTCGTAGTGGCCCCATGTCGTCGGGTTGTTTCTCGAGGGCGGCGCCATTTGGCTGCCGGGACCAGCGCTGCTCGTTGTCTGGCTGGCTGGCTGGCTGTAAGCCCGAGTGATGGTGGTGGTGGTGATAGTGGTGATAGTGGTGGTGGTGGTGGTGGTGGTGGTGAGCGCGGGATTCGGGGTCAGCCTCTCTCTTGTTATTTGAGGGTTTCGCAGCCAGCTACTAGGTAGGTAGCTCTCTGGATCGTTGCCGGCGATGAAGATGGATATATCAGTGATGCTGTCCTGGCTGCGGGAAAATCAGCGCGAATGGCCGTTCACTTTCTTTCTTTTTTTTTATGACACGAAGACGCTGGCATGGGAATTGCGATCGACGCGACAAGACGGTCTTGCGGTGAATCAGCGGGCAAGGGGAGAGAAGCAATGACGAAGAGAAGAGAAGGGAAGGGAAGAGAAACGGCGAGAGGTTCCCAACCCTTGCCGTGATGCATGCAAGATCCGATCCAGCGAGTGAGGGGTGCGTGCCACCAACCAAAAAAAACCTGAGCCTCCTCCTCCCCCCCCTCTATATAGGTACTACCTACCTATCTCTGCCCATATCTCTCTCTATCTCTGTGTCTCCAGCTCGTCTGTCGCATTGACCGCCAAACAGCCATGTCGCCTCTCCATAACGTGCGCTAACCAGGAGATGTTGCTGGAAAAATAATACCGCAACATCATCATCATCATCATCATCATCATCATCATCATCATCATCATCATCATCATCATCATCATACATGTACATGGCTCGTGCGACTCCATTAACTACCTAGTAAAGTAGCTGTGGTAGTAGTAATAGCAAACAAGCACGTCGAAAAGGCAAGGCATCGTTGCTCAAAGAGAAACCACACCGAGGCTGCAGCCAAGCTAAGCTGCAGTCGGCCTCTTGGGCTCATGCATCGTGCCGGGAAAAGAGGAGCGAGCTTATCTTGCCTTAATTTAAATTGATCCTTTCTTTACACTACCTTACTAGGACGTACAGTACAACTACTTGTACCTCGTGATGCATCGGATTACCTCGTACACATTTGGTGATGCAGCGCCAGCCTGCTTCGATAGATTCTCAATGCTTCTCGAGACTGACTTTCTACCGACAACAGATGATTGCAGCAGTCTTGTAGTATCCATCACAAACACAACAGTACCTTAGCAGTAATCCTGAGATTACATCACGCCCTCGTCCGTTCACCTAGTGGTAGTACCTAAATCATCCCATCTTCCTCACACCTATACCTACTAGTACCTACCTACTTAGTAACTAAGCAAGCTACAGGTACTTACCTAAATACCCATATGTACGCTAACGCCATCCCACTTGGTACAACCCCAGCTCCCTTATCTCCTCTTATCTAAAAAACATTCAAACTCCATCATCAACCATCTTCACCTCTCCTCCACATGCTATACCTAATTCCATACCCATCCACGACACCATGACTTCCCTACTACCACCACAACCCCCATCTACCACCTCCCCAGCATCCTCCCTCTCCCCGCTCCTCCCCATCCTCCACGCCTTCAACCACCGCCACCACAACCAGCACCGTCTCGCCCACTGGTGGCCCGTCTTCCGCATCCTGCGCCGCACCCTCCGCGCCCTCGTCGACGACCTCACCTCATCCTCTACTTCTACCTCTTCTTCTTCAACATCGTCCTCCTCTAAATTATCATCACGCCCTCGCCGCGACGCTGCAGCATTGTCTTCACAACCTCCTCCTCCTCCTCCCCGCGCAATCTGGCTCAGCAAGCACTTTATCCCCAGAGCATACATGTACGTTTCCCCTCCCTTCCTCCAAGGTAACATCTTACACCAAACTGACCAAACTTCCCCGTGAACACAGTGCATTCTCCCAACTCGCAGCCGACAACCAACACGCCCCCCTAGGCCTCCTCCTCCTGGCCGTCCTCTCCCGCGTCCACGCCGTCGTCACTCAGCTCCTCCTCGACCACACAGCCACCTCCTCCTCCACATCCACCACTCCCTTAACATCAAAGCTACCACCTTCCATTCAAGACAAGCGCTCAATCGACGTTTCGAGCCAAGACAAAGGCATTACCATATCCCGCGACACACACACACCACCGACACACAACACAGAGCGTCTACGAACCCTACAAACAACCAAAACAACACCAACACCAACAAGCAGCGCACGGCATTCCTCAGATGACCCGCGCAGCGGCAACGTCGCCAACTCAGAGGCAGTAACAGCTACAAAGCCTTCCAGGCCCAAATCAATGGAAGCGTCATCGAAAGACGACAAGAAAAAGAAGAAGAAGAAAAAGGGAAAAGGAGACGAACTGTCGAGTCTCTTTGGGTCGTTGGCATAAAAAGTCAGCTCTCCCAAGCCACTCGTTCACGCGGAGCAGGAAAAGAAGACGCCGTCATTCGAGCAGCAATTGCGTACCACCATGTCATCTAGTATTCAGCATTATACCCCACATTTTCGTCCATACCAAAGCATCAATGAGCCTTACTCGGATCTTCAACATCGAGCCTCTCATATTGCCCTTCAACATGTCCAGAAAAGGAAAACCTAACTTGGAAAGGTCCAAAAAAAAAAAGAAAAGGCATCTTCATTACCCGAATACAAACTAGGCGGATTTTCAATAAAGACCAAAGAGAAACGATACCAACGAATTAGTAAACCCTGCTTGGCCTCTCCTCATGCCCGTTCCATGTTCAACAAAAAAAAACAAGGGGCTGTGCTTTCCCGCCTGTGCGCCAGCCTCCGTACGTTAAAATAATAACCACCACCCCGCGTAATATTGCCTCGTAACACGTATTCCAAAGTATAAAGAGCACTTTCGGCGACAGTTCGTCCTATTCCTAAGCCTCTCCAAGCCCCTTCCGTCTTTCCCCCAAATCTCTGAATATCGACTCGTTGCTACTCCTTGGCCACCCCACCCACTGCCCTGTGTGCCCCTCACCGTCTTCCCGTTGCCTAATAAGGGCGGTAAGACCAGATGCGAGCCTTCATGTCTCCGGAACCAGTCGCAAAGTAGCCGCCCTGGGGACTGGGAGCCACTGAAATGACGGAGTTCTTATGTCCCTGAAGCATGAGCTGTGTAGTTCCCGTGCGCGGGTCCCAGAACTGAACACCGCGATCCTTGGAGCCGGACAAGACCCAGTTGGCGTCAGGGGTCAGCGCAACGGACAGGACAAAGTCCCGGTGGCCCTCAAACGTCTTGACGCACTTGCCGCCCTTGGTACCGGAGCTGGGAGGGCCGCGAGGCGAGCTGAGCTCCCACATCTTGATCGTGCGATCCAGACTGCCGCTGACGAGGTCCTTGCCGTTGGGCGAGAACGCCACCGAGTAGACGCTGTCCTTGTGCCCATCGGGGCCCTCGAGACGCTCGACCAAGAAGCCCGTCATGATGTCCCAGACACGAACGCTCTTATCCAACGAGCCGGCGGCAACAAACTGCGTGTCGGGAGAAATGGCAACGGTGGTGACGCCATCCTCAATCGTCAGCGTCAGGGTGTTGGTGCCCTGCTCAATGTCCCACAGACGGACAGTCCTGTCACCACTGCCCGAAGCGATGGTGCGGCCGTCGCGCGCAAAGTCGAGCGAGTAAATGTCTTGCTCGTGGCCCGAGAAGTGGTTGCGGATAGTTCGAGTGGCAATATCCCACACCTAGGAAGGAAAATAAAGAAGTTAGCAAATATTCGTCTGGAATCTGCAAGGGGGTGAAACGTGAGCAAGGCACGGCCTCTGCCCTGCCCACTTTCCCCCTCTTGGCACTCTATGTTTTGCTTACCCGGATCAACTTGTCCTCGGCACCGGTAGCCAGGTATCGGCCGTCGGGGCTGAAGCAGACGCTGCGGATGTAGAGGTCGGCAGCCATGTCGGTGGCATTATGGTCCTCCAAGACGCACACCTTTTCGCCCGTCTGGACGTCAAAGATCTGGGCCGACTTGTTACAGCCCGTGGCGACATACTTGCCGTCGTGGCTAAAGCGGACACAGCAGACGACGCTCTCGTGGGTCAGGGAATGGACCAGGTCGACGTCCAGGACGCGCTGGACCTGCGGGTTGAAGATGGCGTACCAGTCATTGCCCGTCTTCTTGTTGTGAGGCGCGACGGCGTCGACCTCGAGATCGCCGAGGGCGTTGCTGATGGGAGGCGGGGGCGCTCGGGGGCCCCCCATGCGAGCGTGGTCGGGAGTCGGGTGGCTCACTTGCGGCGACTGGGCATTGCCGGGATACGGCACGGGGGTGTTGATCTGGGGCGTCGCAGGCCCGACAGCATTCGGCGGACGGCCAATGCCTCGTCGGCCCGGGCCAGGCGAGGCCGTGCTTGGCGGCGCCTGAGGGCCCATGCCGTTGGGGCCCTGATAGGCCTGCTGCTGGTACGGAGGCTGCTGCTGCGGCGGCGGCTGTTGTTGCTGCTGCGGCGCGTTGGGGTGCGGGGGAGGGACGGGCAGTCCGGGAGGCCCCTGGGCCATCTGGTGGTGGTGAGGGCCCATCTGCTGCTCCTGGGGAGGAGCCTGGGGCTGAGGCGGCGCAAGGCCACCCTGGTTGCCGCCGGCCATGATGCCGCTGAAGAGGCCACCTCCAGGCGCAATCGAGGGAGGCTGCTGGGAGGGTCCGGCGTGCTGAGGAGGGCCCTGGAGGCCTGCCTGCGGAGCTCCCTTGCGAGCGACCTCGAGCTGATGCCGCAACATGTTGATCTCCTCCTCGTATCTACTCGCACGCGAAGAAAAGAGAGATGCTGTTAGCGCGGCCCGCGACGACGTGGTGGCCATGTATGCAGACGTGCTTACTTTTGCTTGAGCGTCATATGGGTTTGCTCCATGGCGTAAACCTTTTCTCGCACCAGCTGCATTTCGCTGACCTGCGCTGAGACTATATAGTTGAGCAGTTAGCCAGCGATTCTAGCCCGCGATGTATTTGCTGCTTGTCATTTGATTTCTTGTCATTTGATTTTCCATCTCCATCCGTGTTCCTCCTCCTTCTCCTCCTTCGCTTCTGTCCTATTGTCTTGACGTCCGCCTCTTGACACGCGTATGCGTGCGTTTGCTTCAACATTTCGGATAGCCATGGCACAAACCATTGACCTTGCTCAGACGGCATTTGCCGGGGGGGGGGGGGGGGGGAAGGCGTACTCTGATGCTCAAAGTTCTCAGTCTGGCGCTGCTGGCTGTCGAACTCGGCCCTGATCTGCTCCAGCAGCTCGTTGAGGCGAGCATTGCCGGGGGGCACAGCGCCCATGCCGCGATGGGAATACATGGACATGGCTTGGGCGGGTTGGCTCGATGGATCGAGACGCAAGCTCGTGCGAAGAGGACTCGGTGCTGCGAAAAACTTGCGCGAAGACTGCTTGAACGTATCCGCTGTCGCCTGGATCCGGAGACCAGCAGGCGTTTTAGCCGGGGGATCGAGATTCCGACGTGGCTCTATCGAGGCCGTAAATCAAAACACCCTCCTAGAAAGAGAAGAAGAAAAAATTGGCCCCCCCAAAAAAGGGAAGTGACGAAATTCCAGCTCGACCGGCCGAGGCTGACGATGGAGGCGGTAAATGGTATCCGGGCGGCGGATGGGAGAGCGACTCGCAGCTTGGGAGCGGAATCGCGTATCTGCGGGCAACGGCGGACGTGATTTCGATGCGATGCGTGGAGGTTTTGTGTCAAAGGAGGAGGCAGAGAAGAAGAGAGAGAGAGAGAAAAAGGTGAGAAAAGGAACCTTGGAGGTACAGCGTCGCGGCTGGGGGAATAAGGTAACTTCGGTGGAGCGCTAGAAGCGAGCAGGCGTCTCGTCTCGGGGCTCGTAGCCTGACCACACAAGCAGCGCAGAGCAGAGCAGAGCAGCTGGGGGGGAGAAAGGCGCTGGCTCAAGGGGGGGGCGCCTCGTTGTACATGCAGCCCAAGTCCAGACAACAGCCGCATATACCTGGCGGTACTTTGGTGACGGCGCTCCACCGCACGCGCCACAGCGGACTGGAGGCTCCTCTTGTGGTGCTGCGGCACCACCCACATGTACCGCGCAGTACAGGCGACAGGGGCGTCAGGTTCTCCCGGCTAGCCTGGCCCCAGCGTCAAGTGCGCGAGTGTGTTCTGGCACAGCCGGACAGGGGCGTGGGCAGGTGGAGTTGCACAGAAGCTCGGGCCCTTTTTCTTCTCTCTGAGCGGGTGTCTGTCTTTAGCTCTCAAGTCCTTTTCCTTGTCCGTCTAGGGGGCGTTTCTGAATTCTTCTGAGGGGGGGGGGGGGGGTGCGCGGTAGCGCGGGCCGACAGCAAATCGATACTCCAGCCATGGCCTCTTGGTGCTCGGGGCGCGGAGTAGGTACTGTCGTCTGCTCGCCGCAGAGTACCCAAGATACCTGCGGTTGCTACGACACGTCCGGGCAGACAGCGAGGTAGCACGGGTTGGCCGCGCTGCAGACGGGACACCGGGGTGGCACGCCTCTTCACCTGGGGTTACACACGGACAGAAGAGAAGTTGTGACACCGTCTTCTGTACGTACGTGCGGGTGCTCGTACAGTAGGTAAGGTAGGTAGGTAGCACAGGCAAAGAGGGCATGTAAAGGGATGTAGTAGAGGCAGACGCACATGTATGCAGACGCACGCGCACGAGACTCTTGTCAACTACCTATACCTAACACCTCTAGTACTCTACATAAGGTAGGTAGGTATTACGAGTAAGACGAGTAACGCCCTACTGAAGTAAGCCACGATGCAATGATTAATGGCATGCCTAGGTGCTTGTAGTTGCCCTCTTTCTGTCCACTTACGTACGTGGAAAGAGTTATTACTCGCCTTGATTCCTTCCTCCAGAAACCGAGTCCGATTCAACAGCCGTCTGTCGCGTCATCGTCGTTCTATGCATTTGCATGTCAAGTAGGTATCTCCCTGTAATCCGTCCTTCCGTACCTAATCAATGCTCCGCAACCTGCATGTACCTGTAAGCGCCTCTCAGCCCCCCCTTCAAGCGCGACCCCCCTTCTCGTCTTCCTTCCTCGCCGTCCACCCTGGCTCCAAACCCGCCCGTTCCCCAGTAGCAGGGGAGGTGCAGAGGCCCAGCCCGGCACGGTGGGGCATCTAGACGTTGAAGTTTCTCTAATCATTTTACAAGTCCCTCAAGATGGCAGCCTCCACCATAAAACTACTACATGCACTAAGATGCAGTACCCAAATCCAGCTAATAAGCTACCATCTCCCAAGCCCTTGCTGTCCCGGTCTGGGAGCGGCTCACGCTGGAAGCAGGGATGCAGAGTGGATATCAGAGTGGGCTGCAGTAAGTGGGGCACCCAAGCCCACCCAAGTGGACTCCACTCTGGCCCCAGCGCTGGCAGGGGGTTATTGCGTGTGGGGCGGCCGAGCCTAACACCAGCCACAGCCCAGCCGGTTCCCCATGCTGTCGCGCTGCATCGAAGCTGCGACCTTTAGCAAACCTGTACTTTGCACTTGTACCTGAGGACGGGGGCTCCGCTCTGCACGCTATCCGATTTGCGGCCTAGGTGGATCCTCTCGCACGCTCTGCTTCTCTGCTTCTGTCGTTTTGAGCGAAACTGCCAATTTGGTACCTTTGTACGCGCACAGAGGCGAGAATCCCGCACACACGCACACACACACACACACACACACACACACACCTCCAAGCATCGACGCCTCGACCCGATATCCGAGCCAGGAGACGGGTGGCCATGTGCACTCCCCGAGCTGGACTTGTCAAGCCAATTGCTCGCATGCGAGTGAATAATGACAAGCAGTACTGCTGATAAGCAAAAGATGCTTGTTCATTTTCTCGACCGCGGCAATGAAAGCATGTGTTGACGTCAAGACAAATGACGTTCTGACTGGTGTCAAGATGATGATGATGCCGACCATAGAAGGTAAGGAGACAATCCGGTGTGTTTGCCTGTGCTGTTGACTGTAGACTTGAGACGCCATGAGTGTCCCGTCTTCTTGTCTTTGTTGCACATACCTAAGGTACTACTAGGCATTACTACAACACCCTCCATCGATTTATTTCATTCCGCCATGGCCGTTTGTAGGCACAATGCCGCCGTTCTCATCATACTATTTGTCAACGCGGAGGCACCAGCTCTCTCTTCTGTCTCACACACAAGATTCGCCCCGGCAAGCCACATGAGGCTGAGGGGGCCAATTGGAGAAATGTCTTGGCAGCCTCGTTTGCTCGTTCGTCCGTTCCGGGGGCTTACTAGGGAGTGTCCAGCCAGGTGGTGCAATATGGATGGTTGACCTGCTTCGTCCTCTGTTGGTTCGTGTGTGTGCACATGTGTCACACGCTCCTTTTCTTCCACCCAGTAACACTCCTACCTAGTACCTACTACCTCTAGTAGGTACCTAGGTAGTTGCTTGACTTGGACATTTACGAGTACACACACAAGTATTGTAGGTACCACACGTCTTGTTTTTTTTTTTCTGCATCCCCCCCCCCGTTTGCCATGATACCTGGGGTGCTAAGCGTGCTAATCCCCGTCTCGTCTTTCGGTAGGATTGGCCATCTGCGGCTTACGGTAGCCGCGTACACAGAAGGGAGGGTGTGGTGACGCCAAGCGATCCTCCAATGCAACGAGGTGTCAGGTGGATGCACGATACATCCGCCTGTTTGTTTGCACTCTCAGATGTCTGGGAAGCTCATCCACGACATGCGTCCATCAACCTCGGGTGTGGGTGTCTGGCTTGCGCTCTGGAAACGCTGTCTAGGGTATAATTAGGGGACGGGATGGTCTTTTTATGTTCCAGCGTGAGGGTGTCTCTTGGGAGGCGTGGGCTAAGGTAGTGGCAGCGTCCATCCAACCGGCATCGCACACGCGTTCCTTGCGATGCTACTTACATACCAGCATGTGGCCATCCTTGGAATCTTGCCCTTTCGCTGGTTCGGCAATATGTAGTAGCAAGCACGTAGAAACCCAGACAGCATCAAGAATCAAGAATCATCAGATTGCTGGATGCTCGAGTCGGGATCTGACGGTGGCTTGCATACATGTGGCTTGCAGTATCCGAACTTGTGGTGTGTACTCGTACTACTAGATGCCAGCCTCTTTAGTTACCAACCACTAAGGTAGGCAGGGAGGAGTCCATCATCCACGCCCCCTCGCTTGTACTACTTAACACACATGAACACTTGGTCGCCATGGTTGCACATGTAATGTCTTACAAGCACCACGGCCGTGACGTGGGTATCGGAACAATCATCTTTGCAGACGATATGAGTGAGAGTCGCCGACTGGTGGTGAGATGCGCCAGAGCAGATGCGCATTTCGAAACTGTGGTATTTACTTGAACCTGTACGTGCATGTGTTCCTCTCCACGGAACATATCCTTGTAGGTATTATTTCAACTTTTGATGGCGAGATAGGTACCTAGGTAGAGAATGGACCTTGGGTATCGAGTGCGTGGTTTGGTACTATGTAGGGTAGGCTCGGCCGATTATACCTGCAGAACAACAGCATTTGGTATCACCACTTTTCTAACACTGCCCATTGTTTGCCAGTTCGTGCTCAGAGGCAAGACATGTAGCTCGATCCATTCCGTTGACTGGCACTCGTGGTATTACCAGGTCAAGAGAATCGCAGATAAAGCACCCCCTAGCACAGACGCTATCACTTCTTAAGTTGACCCGGCAAACTTTCCAGAGTTCCTTTTCCAAGGCTAGGGCCGGGAATCTACCCGCAATTGATTAAAGTCCCCAGGGTGGTGGTGCATCCTGGGCTGCCGATTGAAAAGGGTTAAAAAAAAAAAAAAAAAAAAAAGGAAACGGAAGCTCATGGGACGGATCGCTAAGCCGGGATTGACTTCGGCATCGTGCCGACCGGAATTTCACCGTGATGCGAAGGGGGGATTTGCTGCCGCGATTTGGGCGCTCGGCAGTCACGGGGCGGAAAACTGGACGTGTCCGAACTTGATCAAGGGGGGCTGCCTGAATAATATAGTATGTGCAAGTCGTTGCAATCGTGAGGCTAGAACTCGTCTTTCTTCTCGACGGGTTGCCGCTTCAACGCGAGACGGTGGGACGATTGTCAAGATGATGGTTATTGAGGACGTGATGATGATGCTCAGGCAATTGTCTCATCACGACTTACTACAGGACCATAAAGAGTGGCCGTAACAGCAGTTGGGCCTCGAGTGTGTGTTGTCTCCGGGGAATGTGGGAGAGAGAGAGAGAGAGAGCGGCCAGAACGCAGGGACGCACGCAGTGTGAGTGGGAATCGCAGGTTTGATGGATGACGAGCAAAACCGAAGCTGGCCTCGCGCTGCCGACGAAGCGAAACGAATGCACCCCGATGATGGGGCTCAGATTTGCCAGCTCTTTCACGTACAGCAGAGAACAGGTTTTCCTCAACTGCGGACAAGGCAATAATATTACCTTAGGTACTTACTCGCCGCAGAAGGATGACACGCATTGGATGGAGAGGCGAAACAAGAAGAGGGGGAAGAGCAACAAGAACAAGATGAAGAGTACGAGATGCCGGCACCTCGCGCGTATTCGTGTTCTTATCGATACGAATGCGACTTGCCCACCCCGCCCCCATCAAAAGGCGCGGCTTAGCTAAGGCAAAGCCCGCCAATCCCGCGCCGCGCCTCGGCCATTCAGGCACCATGCCGCCTGAGCATCAGCACATTTCCAGCTCCCTCTCTGGCCACTTCGGCTCCGCTCGGGGGTGGTTCCCGCATTTCGACGCGCTCGATTCGGAGAGCCGTAGATGTCCGGACATTTCGTCGAATCAGCAAACATCACACCACCAGCTGGCGCCGGATCGTTGCTGCTCCGTGAAAGGGGTGGAGGCGAGGAAGCAGGACTGCCGTCGAGTCGATCCTGTTGATCGGGATGTTGATACAGTGATACCTACGGCTTCTACCTACCTATATAAAAGCATGCTCATGGTACAGTTATATCACAGGAGAAACAGCCAAGAAGGTCTTGCTTTTTGCTACATAGGTACCCAGCTGCCTACTACCTACTACTGTATCTGGTAGCTTCAGTTTGTTGCTACCGTGGTTGATAGACAAACCATCAGCAATTCACCTCCTTCGGTCCCTCTTCTCTCTCTGTGCTCTGCCTGCCATCACCAGCATCGTCCGTCCTGTCACACGCTTATCTGATCGATCTCCTCCCTGCCATTCGAACCACACTTGGCTCTTCTGTTGCGCCGAACCTCAATCGGGATCCGCGTTGCACCCCTGAACTCGCGCCCCAGTTTTTATTTTTTTCTCGCTCTCTATCAACGTCGAATCGCTCCCCCCCCCGGACCATCGACTAGGCTCAGTATTTAAATTGGCCCTCGCTCGCTGCCCGCGACTCGATCGCAAAACCCCGTCGCCTCCGAAACCTGCGAACAAGCAGCCGCCTCTTGTTCCAGCTGTCCAGGTCCCTTCTTTTGTCCCATTCTGACCTTGTATTGTTTTCGTCTTCCTTGGTCTGCCCATCATGGATGTCGTGCTGGAGCTCACCGACACCTTCATCGCCGACCACGTCTACGCCTGGCTGTTCCCTCTGCAGCCCGCGCCGTACGACTACCCCAAGGCGACGGCGTCCAATTCCTCGGCCCAGGCCTTTTCATCATGGACCTACAAGCCCGCGACCAAGTACTTCCAGGTCGAGCCCTTCCAGGCCGCGTACATGAGCTCCCTGCCCCGGGATAACGTCTGGCGCCAGGCGGCCACGCTCTTCTTCATCACATGGTATGTGCCCTTTGGCATCTGGGGGAGGATCAAGATATCCCGATGCGCGAACAGCCTCCATTCGCCCCCCTCCTCCCTGCACCCCGTCACGAGTCTGGTGCTAATTCTTGAATTCAGGATCTTTGGCCTCATCGTCTACTTCATCTTCGCCACCCTCTCCTACGTCTTCATCTTCGACAAGCGCACCATGAAGCACCCCAAGTACATCAAGAACCAGATCTGGCTCGAAGTCATCCAGACCAACAAGTCGATGCCCTTCATGTCCCTCCTGACGGCGCCCCTCTTCCTGCTCGAGGTCCGCGGCTACGGCAAGCTCTACGACACCACCTCCGAGGGCCCCGGCTTGTGGTACAACATCCTCCAGTTCCCGCTCTTCCTCGTCTTCACGGATTTCTGGATCTACTGGATTCACCGGTACCTGCACCACCCCCTGGTCTACAAGCACCTGCACAAGCCTCACCACAAGTGGATCATGCCCACGCCCTACGCCAGCCACGCCTTCCACCCGGTCGACGGCTTCGCCCAGTCGATCCCCTACCACGTCTTCCCCTTCATCTTCCCGCTGCAGAAGATGGCGTACGTCTTCCTCTTCGTCTTTGTCAACTTCTGGACCATTATGATCCACGACGGCGAGTACCTCACCAACAACCCGGTCGTCAACGGCGCCGCCTGCCACTCGCTGCACCACTCCCGCTTCGAGGTCAACTACGGCCAGTTCTTCACTGCCTTTGATCGCCTGGGCGGCACCTACAAGATGCCCGAGGCCTGGATGTTCGAGAAGGAGGTCAAGATGTCGCAGAAGAAGTGGAAGGACGAGGCACAGGAGGTCGATGCCACTGTCAAGGAGGTCGAGGGCTCCGACGACAGGACCTACGTGCCGGAAACCAAGAAGAGCAAATAAGTGCTTGCTCTACTCATCCTTCTGCCTCCTTTCTTCTTCTTCTTCTTCTTCTTCTTTTATTCCTGTTTAATTCAACAAACAAATTACGGCCATGAAAAGAGTCTCCCTTCTTCTGGCGTAGCGTGACTTTGCGCTACGGAAAGGTGCCCGAGCTGGCACCAATCATTTCATATATCATCTGCCGCCAACATTTACCCACCTACCTAACCTTACTCCGTTTGGTCTTTGCATGCTGTGTATATACTTGATCGCAGTCTCTTGGGTGGATCACGGATTGAGCCACCTCAACGCTGTTTGAGTTTCGATACTGAATATTGGCTAGGGCGGTAGAGGCGTTATGAGGACACGGCATCACGAAAAAAAAAAGTAAACAAGTCTGCTTGAATGATGTGTAATACTATGGTATATTTTATTTGACGACTGATATCAAGCGCACCGGCGTCTATGATCCGGCAATGTAATAATAATACGATATAAAAGAGAACTTTCCAACTCCAGCTTGGACCAAAGAGAACAAATGAAAGTGAAATGGACAACAAAGAAGACGGTATCAGCTGGACAATGTGTCGAAGCAAGTAGCCGCAGATTTGCACACATCCTCTGGCGAGGTTGTATCTCTCGCACCACAGCCTTCGGGATACTGCTTGCTTGCTTAAGAATAGACAGATGGACAAAAAGGGAGAAATAAGAGAACCAGAATCAGTGAGCGACGAGAGAATGGAAATGCATGCGACCAAGCGCGCGCAGACTCGGAACAAAACAGGCCGAAAGACAATGAATAGTCTTGTAAAAAGAAGAGAACGATGGCGAGGTGAGAGATGTAGAGATGAAATGACAATGTAAACAGGCTCCCGCAGATGCTCCATATGACGGCTAGGAAAAGGTGATCAAAAGTCGAGACGAGCAACAGCAACAACAACAGCAGCAGTAGCAGCAGCGCTACAGCATAAACTCTCACAAGTCCAGGAAGAAAAAAGAACAGTAAGGTAAATCGCCTCCTCCGTTCCTCATGAGAAGCTCACAAACTTGGGATCCCTCGGCCGGCCGTCGGGCCCGATGCCGTTGGCCTTGAAGCGGTTCTCCATGTACACCTTGCGGGCCTGGTCAAAGGGCAGGCGCCTCTTCTTCATGATGCGGAGGACCTCGGCCTTTGCGGCGTCGTCGAGCCCCGCGCGGGCGTCGCCGCCGTCGACGTTGCCCGTCAGGTCAAAGGTGCTGCTCGACAGGCCGGCCTCGATGTCGCCGGCAAAGGACGAGGGCAGGCGGGCGTAGAGGTAGTCGGAGCCCGGGAGGCGGAGCTCGTGCAGGCGGCGGAGCCAGCAGGAGCGCGTGAGGAAGAGGGCTGTTGCGACGACGACGAGGGAGACGCAGACGGAGTAGAGGAGGTACGACATTGTTTGTTGCGTTTGTTGTTGTTGTTGTTGTTGTTGTTGTTGTTGTTGTTGTTGATGATGATGATGATGGCGGAAAGTTGTGCTCTTTGCGGGTGGCTCGGAGATGGAGAATGTGGTTGCGGGTTTTAATTCGGTATTGGTTCGTGTTTTGGAGTTGCGCAGCGGCGGAATGAAAATGAAGAATGAGGCTCAAGGAAAGCGAAAGAAAGGGAGGATTAAGAAAGGAATAGCGAGGGCAAGGAAAAGAAGAAAAAAGGTGGTTGTATGAAGTCAAAGCCGAATGTCGTTGCTCCCTGGAGATGTCGGGCGGCTAGCAGATGAAGCAGTTCATGGCCAAGGCAAGGGTGAGGGAGGCTCGTTTCCTTTGTCGGGCGCTGGTCTGTACGATCGAGAGGACCTTGTACTAATACGATGCGGGCGGCTGCTGTTTTGAGGGGAATGCGATGCGACAGGGACGGATTTGGTGAGGCCTCAAAAAAGAGCTGGCCCGTCTGACGTGTTGCGACTGCACTTGATGCGGCTTGAACGCAGCTTAAAGCAGGTGGCTGTGCGGGATCCATTCAGCTTCCTGGTCGCACCATGTGGTTGATGGAGCAGATTGACTGGCCGGTCTTGAACCTGATCCGATCCGATCCGGGTCACCAGCCACAGGAGACGGGACAGGGAGAGACTAAGGTACGTGTACTAATTAGTACACTATGAGTATGTAAGCCGATAAGGAGCGATAACGATTGCGGTGCTCGCGGCATGGCCAACGCTAAACCGTAAGAAGCAAGCTAAGCGAGCCCGCACATTTCGGCTGGCCGACTGATTCTCTGCAACACGCCCGGCTCCAGCTCTTTGTGAGGATTAGCGACAACGAACCGAAAAACGAACCTCGAAACCACCGTCAAGTCACCCCTTCGACAACAAAATCCGACACAATGGCCGCCGCTCTGCCCAACATTTCCTCGGACCTGATCTGGGAGGTCGTTCGTGAGTTTTCCTTCATTGCTCTCCCCGAACGAAAGCTCCCTGAAGCTGTTCCCCCCCTCCGAAAGGGGCAGTTCAGACGGAGGCAACACACAATCACGAACAGAGAGGCATGGGAGCTAAATCGGCGATATTCATGGCATAGGCACCAACAACAGCTACCTCCACAAGACCGGTGCTGCCCGAAATGGCGGCGTCCAGTTCTCTCGCGACCCTCTTAACCTGAAGAACGTCCACAGCCGAAAGGTACGCGAAGCTCGAAACGCTGAATCCAGTCCGGGTGGAGGATGGGGGGATTTCACTACAACTTGGGAGGATATGATGAGGGCTAACTGTCTGGTTGAAATAGTACGCTGGCTTCGTCAACGACAAGGTACGACGCAATCCTTCTTCTTTCCACGAGCGAGCAATCGAGCAAATCACCGATATAATGAAAGAATCGAAACGAATCGAGAGGAGCTGTTTTTCAATATGCTAAGACTATGGAATGAATAGGCCGTCGGTGTTCTCCCCAACGAGAAGGGCGGCGTTGTTCTCGTCACCAAGAAGCCCGCTGCTGTCACCCAGCCCAGCAAGTCTGTCGCCAAGACCACCATTGGCGGCGGCAAGTCCACCCGCAAGTGAGTTGAGACTACCCCAACACCATACACTTACTCCTGGATTGCGAGAAACATGGTTGCTGGAGGATTCGCATAAGAGAATCAAGTGGGAGGAGTTCCCGTCATGCTAATGACAATTGGATAATGTGTAGGACCTACAAGGCCGTTGCCAGCCAGGTCGCCAAGACCGGCTACCGCCCTGACCTCCGCGCCGCCGCCGTCGAGCGCGCCTCTGCCATCCGCCACTCCCAGCTGCCCGTCAAGGCCGACCCCGAGCCTAAGCTGAGGGGCAAGAAGGCCAAGGCCGCTGCCGCTGGCGAGTCCTAAACAGGAGGAAACGATGAAAAGAGACTTACAAAATTTCTCGGACCATCTAAGAGAGGATGAGATGAGGATTTTTTTGGGGGGGGGGGGGGGGGGAGAAACGAGGGGGAGAGAGGGTTGGAGTTGGCTGGGGCTTGGGAGTAGGGATCTGAATGGGCTCCATTTGACGACTGTACATTTTGACCTGGCTTGGTAGCGATGGACCTGAAGGAGGGACAAAGGGTTGTCCCCTTCGAGGGTCAATTCCATGTTATGATATTTGGAGGTTTTCGCTGTTTACGGCCGGAGCTGCAGCTGGATCCCGAAACCGTCGAGCCAAATCAATAAATCAAAAATTTGTTACCGAATCCAATGGTTTCTGGCAATGCCTTGTGAAAAAAGAAAGCAGCTGCAACCACAGTGGCTAATATGAACCCACGTACAATGGTCGATGAGTTAGGTGCTTCGTATTACAAGCACAGCCTCGGCAACTGCTTCGTTGCTCCACGAGTCCAGGATCTACCACGAAGTGGCCAGCATGCAGCCACATGGCCGGTCTTTTCCTGTGCTCCGCCTTGCCCCGAGTGCCGCCGGAGAAGTCCAGGACGCGGCTCGGGACTGCGCTTCGGGTATGCCACTCCTCAAGATGTTCGGGTGAGATCCTATCCCCAAACTCGCCCCCAGCAACTTTACATGTAGCATCACCATAAGACACCTTTATGCGTAATGAAGGCAGAAGCAGCCGAATTGCCAATCGATGAAATCATTGTCTTCAGATACAAGCAGTAGTTCCGATCTCACACGATACCTACTACTAGGCAAGGCAAGGCAGTTGGCTGCTCGGCTACCTCGCAAGCCAACGGCCATCCGCTCCGGCCCGGCGAACCTCGGAATCAGCGGCCCGACCTTATTGTGTCATTCTTGTTCCGCTACTTTCCAGACAACCAAGGTGAAGAGTCTTTGTCTTTCACAAGCCTTTGGAAACCATCCATGGTTATCGGGATCAGCAGGCCGGTCGGAACATGACGGGGAACAGGGGGTAAACGGGGATCCGAGGTTCATGTTATTTTCTTTCTGGCGGAGGTTTGGGTGATATTGCTGCTGCACCCTTTCTGAGCATGTTACAGCGTACCTGTCTCGGCCTGTAGATCTGATAGCCTAGAGAGGCTTTACAGAATACCAATTCCTGTTATGCACATGAAATCCGGATTTCCTTGTAATACCAAAGCATCTAGTTACTATTCTAGACTCCCGATTGGCCAAGCCCAGGCTCATTCCGCGCCAGACAAGCACTCACGAGCAGTATCTGAGCTACCTGAGAAGAGCTTGACCCAATAGCAGAGACCAGACAAGCGAGAGCACAAGCACGTACCCAAGGAGAACAAGAGCCACCTCCGTTTAAACCAGGAAAAAATCCCCAACACATTTGCATAGTCAGGTACTTGTTAACACCTTACGAGTACAGCAGTACCTGGGTTTGTACTCCAGTGAGTGGAGGCACCTGGTCTGAGAATAATAAGGCAGGTACCTACCAAGGTAGCGCGATTGCCCCCTTTGCAGCTGGGCTGGGCTGGACCGGGCAAGAGCCATCCCGCTTCCGTACAAGCAACGACCCCTTCCCGTTCTTACGCAATGCCCCTCTTGCAAGAATCCCTTTTGCGCGATAGATAATCCCATCCTCTCCTCCATTCTCCCGCCCTTGGCCAACTTTCTCTCCTCTGCTTGCTTCTCCCGCTATTCTATCCCAAATCTCTCCTCTGAGCTCCCTCCTCTCTTATTTTGCCCTCTACAAAACCTCTACAAACCGCCATAATGGTCAAAGCAGGTATGTCTCAACTTTCCACCAGCTCAGCTCAAGAATTGCCCCTCAACCCCGCACCGCCAGCGACGAGGGGCGGCAGCTGGGTGCTGTGCGAAACAGAGCTCGCGTCATCGAGGCCAAAGGGCGCAATTGAACAGCGGCCGTGATGGACTCTCAAAAGGCTGACCACTACGATAGTTGTTGCTGGCGCCTCTGGAGGCATTGGACAGGTATGATGCCGTACCCCTCTTGCCCGGATGGGTTCTCGCAACCCGTCTCTCCCCTGGTGTCTCTTGTCGCTAACTCTGCGCGTCCTTTGCCGTCTTCGCATAGCCCTTGTCCCTGCTCCTCAAGGGCAGCCCTCTCATCGACGAGCTGGCTCTGTACGATGTTGTCAACACTCCTGGTGTTGCTGCCGACCTCTCCCACATCTCCTCTCCCGCGGTAAGCTCCCAGCTCCAACCTCATTCATCCGTCGCCAACTCCGCATCACCGAACTACCAACAGCTTGAGCTTCCCTTGGCCCGACCTCTGCAATAAACCCCCAGCTCGCTAACGACGCTGTGGTTTAATAGAAAGTTACTGGCTACCTGCCCGCCAATGACGGTGCCAAGGCCGCTTTCAAGGATGCCGACATCATCATCATCCCCGCTGGCATTCCCCGTACGTATCCAAGGTTACACATAGTCACTACAGGCTTCTGCAGCCTCGGCATGTGATTGGACCCTCCTGTTTGATCATTGGCTGTTAACACTACGATTGCTCAACAGGCAAGCCTGGAATGACCCGTGACGACCTCTTCAACATCAACGCCGGCATCGTCAAGGGCCTCATCGAGACCATTGCCGATGTGGCCCCCAATGCCTTCATCCTCGTCATCTCCAACCCTGTCAACTCCACCGTCCCCATCTCCGCCGAGGTCCTCAAGGCCAAGAAGGTCTTCAACCCCAAGCGCCTCTTTGGTGTCACCACGCTCGACATTGTCCGTGCCGAGACCTTTGTCGCCGAGATTGTTGGCGAGTCTCAGCCCCAGAAGCTCACCATCCCCGTTGTTGGTGGCCACTCTGGCGAGACCATTCTGCCCCTCTTCAGCAAGGCCAACCCTGCTGTCAAGATCCCAGACGACAAGTACGATGCGCTTGTCAACCGCGTGCAGTTTGGCGGTGACGAGGTTGTCAAGGCCAAGGATGGTGCTGGTTCCGCCACCCTCTCCATGGCTTATGCTGGCTTCCGGTAAGACTCGCCGAGGCAGTTTTGTCATTTCAAACTTTATATTCTGACGTGCGCGCCTATAGATTCGCCGAGAAGCTGCTGCGTGCCGCCAAGGGCGAAAAGGGCCTTGTCGAGCCCAGCTACGTTTACCTGCCCGGCGTGCCCGGAGGCGAGGCCATTGCCAAGGCCACCGGTGTCGACTTCTTCTCCGTCCCCGTGGAACTTGGCGTAAGTTTCGACGGATTCTCTCCCCCCCCCCCCCCCCCCCCCCCCTCTCCCCCCCCAAATACTTGACTTGCCAAAGAGGCGTGCTTGGCTAACCTTTACGCAGCCTGAAGGTGTGGAAAAGGCCACCAACCCCCTGGAGGGTATCACCGAGAAGGAGAAGGAACTCCTGGGCAAGGCTGTCGAGGGCCTCAAGGCCAACATTCAGAAGGGCGTCGACTTTGCCCACAACCCTCCCCAAAAGTAAATACTTTCCTCCTGAAATCTGCAGCCTCTGGGTAGCTGTTCTAGTGTCGAGGGAGCCGGTCTTGAGGGACAATAGCTATGACTACTGGGTATAATATATACGCGCGCGCATAAGCAGGGTGGCTGATGATTTGCTCTCTTTCATAGGCTGTAAACTTGTCTCAGAGTCTCTTTCCCCCCAAGCGAAGGCAGTTGCGTTGGGATAGTCTTTTCTCGTTCCATGCTGGCTTAGTCCGCTGCTGTTCGCGCAAGGTTGGATCAGGTCATTTGGGGTGTTGACGGACCAGACTTGTCGTCTTTTTATTCGCACCATGGTGCAGGAGATGCATCCGTTTTCTGTTGCTCTATTCGGCCAAATCTGAGGTAATCGAGCAGGGTTCGTTGTATGGAGGGTGATTTGGTCACTGTGGCTTGGCGACGACGGTCTTGATCTGGAAAATAGCCGCCGGTAGCTCGTTGACCTCGGCTTGGACGGTGGCGCTGATACCCAGGGCAGCCAGAGCGCCGCGGATGATGCCGCAGGGAAACCAGAGGAACTGGTCAGTAGGTTTGAGTTAGCAAATACAAAACTCGAGCTCTGTGATCCTTTCTGTGTCTCGCCTATCTGTGTGTACGTATGCGCGGAGAGAAGAGAGAGACCGGGCCAGAGGTAGAAGTAGAACGTACAGGCTGTGCGCGAACGACGGCCTGGCTGCCGGTTTCGGTGCTCATGCGAGAAAAAGGGCGGAAGGCATTGTCGGTCAGAACATAGACTCCCTGGAGGCTGTTGTTAGCGGAAATGATGTTTGTATGAGGCTGCGCGTGTGTGTGCTGCATAGTGGAAAGGGGAAAGGGTGGAGGGGCAAAACGAGATTGGGGCGTACGCGGTGGTTCGTCTTCAAGTTGTCAATGTTCTTGCCAAAGACGAGGGACCAGAGGTCTTTGCAGAGGAACTTTATGACGTCGAGGGTGTCGTTGAAGCGCGGGCGGTCGCGGGAGAATCTGCAATTTTTTTTGTAAAAACCTTTTTGTTAGACTGTTTCTTTTGGTTTTGATGTATATGTATGGTAGGTAGGTAGGTAGGTAGGTAGGTAGGTAGATAGGTATATGAAAAGGTAAGGAAATGTAAGGTAGGAAGAGGTACATTACCTTTCCACGAGGCCCTGTCCGACGCGGTATCCTTGCGCCTCGAGCCGGTAGTGCACTGCATCGAGGTGCTCGTCGTCGTCTATCCTCTTTGAGGCATGGTCGGCGGAGGCGGAGGCGGTAGAGGAGTTTTGCGCCTGCGGGTGCGTGGCGCTGCTGTCGTTGTTGTTGTTGCTGTCGGGATGTTGCTGGTTCGCTTGGGGGGATAGCTGAGAAGCGGCGGCGGCGGCGGTTGAAGGGGAGAGAGAAGAAGAGATGGGAGAGGAAAAGTCGCGCTGGGATGTGACGCGGTGGGCGAGCGGGACGAGCTCAATGAGGAGGAAGTCGAGGGCGGAGGTGGAGAGGAAGGAGGCGCTTGGGTCGGAGGAGTTGAAGGGCGGCATTGGAGGGGAGAGGGACATTGCTTTTTCGGTTTTGTTTTTTCGGCTCGAGAGTCTGCGTTTTGTGTTTCTTTGTGTGTGTGTGTATGTGTCTTTTGCTGGAGGGGAGAGAGAGAGTGTGTGAAAAGAAGGATGAGAGAAGGTGTTTGGTGATGTGTGGAGTTTGGTGGTGAGAGAGATGTTGTGAGATCAAGGTGGTGACGGTCAAAGGGTATCGATTGTGGCTGCGGTAGAGAGGTACGAGGTACGAGGTACGAAGTGGGTGAGAGGTTCAAGGTGTGGGGGTGGGCTTGGTGGTGGGGTGCGTGGATGTAGCTGTACAACAGCTCTGATTTGAGATGAACCTCCAGGAGAATTCCCAAAAAAAGTAGCCAAAACACACCCACTTTAGGTACTACTAGTAGATACGGTAGGTAAATACAGCCCTGCCAAAAGTCACCACTAGCTACCTATCAATGCCCTAGCCATACATATTCCGTCTCCTCCGAGGACGGTTATGCTGCTCCGTCCTTGCTGATAACAAGGAGAAGAGGACCAGGGAAGGAAATAAAAGCAAACAAAATTGGCCCTGTGCCGACCTGTAGGGGGAATCATCCTTTTTGTTCCTCGTCACCCCAAACGCCTCTGCTGACTTGATAAAGCAAACCTCCCCCCCTTGTCTGGTCTCTAACCCCCCTCCAGACTCTCTTGGATGGAAACGCTTTCTACAGTTTCCTCTATAGATGATAAAATACCTCACTCTTCTCGCCGTCGGCGCCGTCGACCACGCGACTCTTTAGGCGGACGCCTTATGCCCTCTATAGCTTCCATACTGGCCTCCTAGGGCGTATAGTTGCTGGGGGACTCGCTGAGGAATGGGAGATTCGACGAGGATCCGCGGTAGCTGCTCGCCCCCGTATGCTGGCGCTTGCTCGGGCGCTGGATTGGCTCTTCATCGTCAGACGACAGCGTCAGGTCAATGACTGCTGGCGCCGGTCGTTTGACGCTATGCGAGCTGCCCCGCGGTCTTGTCGCCGACCCTTCATGGCCCGCAGAGCCAGGAGTGCCCGTATACGGGGTCAAGTGCTTGGGCGTAGCTGGTCGACGGCCGCCAATGATGATTTCTGACACCTCAACATCATCATCGTCGTCGTCGTCGTCATCAGCATCGTCATCATCCTCGAGTTGTGCGCCGTTTGGTCTGGACAACGTCTCCTCCCTGGGTGGCTTGCTAGACCACTTGCCATTCGGCTCAATCGTGACAGTCTCCAGGCTCTTTGGCGTCTTTTCCAGAATGGCCTTGACATAACTAAAGATTGGTCAGTGCTGGTTACAGGTTGCGGAGAGAAAGGGGCCGAGATTATGAGCGGTACGCACCCATCAACGGCCAGCTGTTCAAATGGCGCCGGTTTGTTGCAGATAGGACACAGCCACTGTGGACCTTGCTCCTGGAGCTGCAAGTACGAGGTTGCGTCAAAGCATTGGAGATGCGTGCATCTCACGCTCCGACAGGGAACTTCTAATCTCATGTAGGACAGAGGGCACTTGAGCGATAACACCTGGGAAGTTGCCACCACATCCGGGTCCTGTGCAATCTTGTTCACTATTCATTGCTGCATTAGCAACCGCGTACCAGTGACGGTGGCCGCCAAGCAAGACTTACAATCTCTTATAACCGATTCTTCAGTGATCTTGCTACGGCTGGCAATTGTCGCTACCAGGTCCGGTACTGTGGTAACCTTGCAAAGGTTGACAATGAGGTAGTATTTCTGCAAAGGCGAAAGAAAGATACTCGTCAGCGGAGATGATCCAGAACAAGAGGCACGCGAATGATGGGGACGCATCAGAAAGAAGAGAGCACAAGGGAGGGGAGAAGACTTATGAGATTAGGAGGAAAAAGAAGGGGAGAGCAGAGGAAAGGGGGAGAAAGGGAGTTCAGTCCCGGATACAAACTTACCTTGGTCGTCAGCGCATACGTAAACTCGATATTGTTCATGTAGTCTCTTTTCAGGCGCAGAGCATTGGTAATGTCAACCGGTCTGGTAGAGCCGGGCTTGTTCTTGAGGCCTCGCAGGTTGGCCTTGATCTCGTCGCCGTTTACCCGGAGCTCGGATTGGTGTGGGAACGCAACATCTTGTACGCCACTGTTGTCGCTCGCACAGAACACCATGATCCTGTAAGACTTGTCGTCGATGCATCGCTGTGCAATGGGGCAGTGGCTTAGCTTTAGCGGGATGGTGACAGAGTTCCTATGCTGTGCCATGGCTGTAGATGGACGACGCCGGTCAGCGGAGGCCTTCTATCTTCAAGGCATCTATGCAGAAGGGGAGGGGGGGTTCAACACTTGCCTTCGCAGGTACGCAAACCGCTCACGGGGACTTCGATGGTGTAAAAGGGGCTTGGCTTGAACGAGAAACCGTACGTTCCGGAGCCATAGGGCGAGACTGGCAAGCCGTCTGCAGAGACTTGCCCATATGCCCGCTGGCTGCCGTAGCCCGCGCTGCCGTACGGCGAGGTTGAGGAGGCGGAGGCGGGCAAGGCTGGTTGCGCTATGGATCCGTTGCCCCGAGCCGTCGTGGCCTTGGATGGACTCGCTCGCTGGGAATTAGCCTGCAAGATGCTCTGTTTGACCTGCTGGAACCGCGCAAAGTCATTGTTGGCTACGGTTTCGTTGATGACTGCATGTTGAATATGAAAGAAAGAGGTCAGCGGTCTGCACGGATGGGTGCAACAAGGGCACGCGAATGTAGGCTTCGCGATGGGGAGACAACGTGGGTAGAGAGACTCACGATTTACAATGCGTCGCTGGAGCTCAGCCTTGACGCCGGTGCTCTTGAGCCCGTTCACCTGGCAGACGGTAGAGAGCTGGCGATTAAACAGAGAGTTGCCCTGGACCTGCCGGAGCAGCGCGCTCACGTCATTCCGCTGAATCAAGCTGGACGAAGCCATGGTTTGGTTGGCGTCGCAGATTGAAGATCGAGAGAGAGGAGGCGCCTCGCATGGGCATCCAAGAGGGAGCGGAGGAGCCAAGGGCGACACGAGCGGGCAGCAAGACAGCAGCGGTGGGCTGATGTGCAAGCGAGTGTGAGTGAGGCGATGCGATCGAGTCTCCGGTCTCTATAACCAGGGCAGGGGCTGCGGGCGGAGCGGACACGATCGAGTCCGAGATCGCAAAGCAAGCAGCAGAGGAGTGTCGCGGCCGCTGGACGGCACAAGGCGGTTGCTTGTGGCGCACGCTGTGAAGCCGGCAGACGGCCGTGATGGTCGCTGACGATGCGAGGCAGAGGGCGGAGGTTTCGACCCGAGGTTTGTCACCGTACGGAGGAGAAGTGCGGTTGATGCAGGCGTCGAGTCGCCAGCAGCGAGGCTGTGAATTCGGTCGGAGGGCCCAAGGGCGACGGCGAGAACGGGCGAGTGATGCAGCAGCGTCCTGGACATTCACTCTCCTCTCACCCCGGCAGCCTCGCGTCGCTTCTGCTGTTATGAGCGAGACATGCCAGCAACCAGCGGTCCAGATGCAGAGAGATGGAGAGATAACTAAGCCTCGACGCTATCGCCACTTGGACGGACTTTTGCGATCGGGCAGGCGGCGGCAGCTGGCAGAACTCGGCACCTTGTATGTAATACTACACCTACCAGGTACTGTACGTAAGAAGAGCAGTAAGAGCAGCCGAGGGCGCGCTCAGCCACGCAGGAATGCCCATTATGCGCCACACTGATGCACTATCTCTTATCTCCTCCCGCCGTTATCGTAAACTTTCTTCTTTCTCTACTCTACTGTATTTGACCGCAGTGCCAAATCGATAATCGCAAGCAGAATCGAACAGAGCGTCCGTCCATCCGTCACCAAAAGAAACAGGTACCTGCGGCAACAACAGCACAAGAGATACGACAACCGCAATCATGGCCAAGAGTTCGCGGTCGAGCAGCAAAAAATTCAACAACCAGCGCAAGGCTGCCAGCATCTTTGGGCCCGCTGAAACCGCCAGACAAGAGCGTCTGTCGGCCAAGCTGCTCGAGCTGGCAAAGCAGGCAAAGCCCGAGCCTGCGGAGATGAAGATTGATGGTTCGTTGGGAACCCCATGAGCTCCTATATCGAGGGAGTATGCACGACGTTTGTGTGTGCTGTTTCTGACACTGCCGAAAAAGGAGACGAGAGCGACAATGCGCAGGACAGAGACGACCAGGCCGCAGATGAGACATGTATGCACAGTTTCCCACCCTCTTTCCGACGCCAATTCCTCTTTTGACGAGCCGGATGCTAATAAGGTATGCTGTGATGCTCAGCCATGGACGTGGACTCGAAGAAGCCGACAAGACCGCAAATCACCAAGAAGCGCATCGAGAAGAAGCGCAAGAAGTCGAGCATCACGTTCCCCAAGTACAGCGACAGACTAGCCGCCAGGAAGAAGAAGAATGCGCCAAAGAAGGCGTGAGATGCGAGATTCGGTCGATGTTCAATTTTCTAAGAATTTTTCTTGCTCCTTGTCGGGTTCGGTTCGTTTCTGTTATACGGAGTACTCATAATCTTCAAATTGTATTGTCTTGCATACCAGCTCTCAATTGACGATATCCATGACCATCCCTCAAGAAAAAGAAAGGAAAAAAAAAAAAAGTTAGTAAAAAAGCGTTAGTTCACTACCTGCAGGCGCGCCCCTGATGCCTGTGGCGCAGCAGTTGTCCCAACTCGGACCTCTGGATCGTCCCTTGGCCAATCAATCCTCCACTCCCGCTTGCTTCGTTATCATATCTCACTCTTACTACCTATCCCTTCACCATACCTTTGGCGATGAACGGGACATTTCAACACCAGCACAGTCCCGTATATACGCGTCTCTCGCATCTCCCATATGGCTTCCACTGTGCATCGGCTGAGTGAAGCACTGTTGACCCCGGCCCTCTCCGAGTCTTTGCCTGGCTCGTCCGATTCTCGTTAAGACATGGTGGCCTCACCAAACTCATCGCTTGCGGGCTCTCTGCTGCTCACTGCGGCCAACATCCTCGTCCCGCTGTCGATTCTCGTCTTTGCCACTGGTTTCTTTCCGTACAAGCCCTTTCTTTCTGGGTTGGCCGAATATGAGCCTCTCGAATATGGACCTCCGCCCAAGGCCCCCTTTGATAGACTTGTATTCATGGTAGTTGATGCCTTGCGGAGGTATGGACTCGATATTCGTCTCCCATAACGGCTCGTCATCTCCATACTAAAACTGCCATGGTAGTGATTTTGTGTACTCTGATGGCTCGGGATTTGAATACACCCAACGGTCAGTCTCGTACACTGTATAGCTGCTTGCTTCACTCTCTCATGCCAGAGTCCCGTATAGCCTCATCCGCGAAGGCGGCGCCATTCCCTTCACGGCCAATGCTCGGTCTCCGACAGTGACGATGCCTCGGATCAAGGCCATCACCACGGGATCTATCCCCTCCTTTGTCGACCTTATCCTCAACTTTGACGAAGCCGACACCTCTTCCACATTGGCCGCCCAAGACACCTGGCTGTCCCAGCTCAAGGCCAAAGACACAGGCAAGCTTCTCATGTACGGCGATGATACGTGGCTCAAGCTGTTTCCCGAGACGTTTGACCGTCACGACGGGACCTCTAGCTTCTTCGTCGCAGTAAGTTGCTTTTCCCACTCTGGAATTCCCACCTGCTGTCTCCCAATCGCTTACAGGCGCAACCTTCAAGGACTTCACAGAGGTGGACAACAATGTCACCAGGCACATCCATCATGAGCTCGAACAGGACGATTGGAGCTTGATGGTCCTCCATTATCTTGGCCTCGATCACATTGGTCATAAATCGGGGCCACGAAGCACGCACATGCCCGCCAAGCAGCGTGAAATGGATGGCATCGTCCACCAACTGTATGAAGCCCTAGAAACCAAGAGTCACCTGAAGTCAACGCTGCTTGTGCTCTGCGGTGATCACGGCATGAACGATGCAGGAAACCACGGGGCGTCGTCCCCCGGAGAAACGTCACCCGCCTTGGTCTTCCTGGCGCCCAAGCTCAAGGAGATATCGTCTGGATACGCAGCCCCTGAGCGGCCCAAGAACGAGTACGACTACTATTCCATGGTTGAGCAGTCCGATATCTCGCCGACTCTCGCAGCGCTCTTGGGATTTCCCATCTCAAAGAACAACCTGGGAGCTTTCATCCCGGAATTCCTGCCCTTCTGGCCTAGCTCGAGCGACAAGGTGCAGATTCTCATTCGCAACGCTAGACAGATCCTCAACGTCGTCACGGCAGCCTTTGGAGGGGAGCTGTTTGACGCTCAGGCTACTGTCGACCCGTGCGCTTCCAGGGCCACGGATGTTGAAGAACTGGCCTGTGAATGGCGAAGGATCAGTCTAGAGGCGGCTTCACAGGCGAATGCCGCAGCGGTTGATCAGGCGTGGCTGTCAGCTACGTCTGCTTGGATTCGCAAGGCCCAAGAACTGATGAGCAGCATGGCATCCAACTATGACATGTCGAGACTTGCCCTCGGCCAGGGCTTGGCTGTTGCTGCCCTCGTTGCGAGCCTTGTCGTTTTGGGCTTGCAAGGTTTCCGGCAGACAGGGTTTCCGATGCCGCTTTTTCTGCTTGCGGCGTCCTATGGGCCCATGATGTTTGCCAGCAGCTATGTGGAAGAGGAGCAACATTTCTGGTACTGGACATGCACTCTATGGCTGGCATATCTCAGCATTCGAGAGGTTGCAAAGTAAGTTGGCTTCCCCACCCCCGTATTGTTGAACAAACGTTCGGTGATGCTGAACCTCTCATTTCAGAACCTCGCGCCTCTCCTCCATCGCAAGCCATGTATTGTCCTTGGCTGCTCTCAGGCTCACCCGAAGCTGGAACCAAACCGGCCAGAAGTTTGCTGGCGAGCCGGACACTGTCAAAACATTCCTCAACCCCAACCCCGAGCTTCTATGGGTGCTCGTCACCTTGGCGTATGTTGTGGTGACTTTCCAGACACTGCAGAGCCTGTCTGGCATGCCGTATATCCTGGCCACCTCCTTGGCGCCGGCCCTCTTCTTGGCGACCTTTACCTTTAAGCTGGCGTTTACTGCCGAGGATGCTCCCGAGCTGGTTGTGGGATTTGCTCGTGACCTACTCGATACTTTCCAGGGCCCGACCCTCATACTGCGAGCAAGGATAGTCTTTGGGCTGCTCGCAGCGCTGCTAGGATTCGCCATATATCGAGCAAAGGCTTGGGGGCCCCGAGCTGCTCAGTCATCTGGTACGTCTGCACCCATGCGACAATGGACAGTCTTTGCATCACTGTCGCCCGTCACAAGCCAGGTCTAACAAAACAACAGTCGAGCTCTCCCACCATTTGTGCACTCTCCTCGCCATGACTCAATCGCGTGCCACCAACATCCCCCTCTTCCTCCTCTCCAGCCTCATTCTGCAGGCCCTTGAATCTGCCGACCTCTCCATTGCCGAAATCACCACGTCCTGCATCATCCTCCAGTACACGACCTTTTTCGCGTTTGGCGGCTCCAACGCAATCTCCTCCGTCGACCTCTCGAGCGCCTACAACGGCATCAGCGGCTTCAACGTCGTCGCCGTCGGCGCCCTGACCCTCGTCAGCAACTGGGCCGGCCCCATTTTCTGGACGTCGGCGACGAACCTGCTCCTCCTGCAAAACCGCCGACAGCGATGGACGACCGGGGCGTTTCGCAGCCACGTCGTCCTGCTGACCGTCTTTGCGTCGACGAGCGTGGCGTTTGTGATGGCGGCGTGCACGGCGCTGAGGACGCACTTGTTCATCTGGACCGTCTTTTCGCCCAAGTATCTGTATGCCATGGCGTGGAGTCTTGGACAGCATCTGCTAATCAATGTTGCCTTTGGGGGCTTTTTGTATTGGGTGGGCACTTGAATCTGGACAGGAACAAGGATATAATCTCCTATCTGAAGAATAAAAGCGCTCATGGAATGGCTAGCAAGAGAGCAGTTTTATCCTTCATCAACTCAGTAATGCCTAGTACCAGCTTAATATATCCATCGTTAGTAGTAATAGAGCCAATCTGCATATTTACCTTTTGCTCAATCATAAACACGTTAAAACCACACATGACAGGGACCGACCCATGGACACGCCATCCTTTCCCATCAAGCCCAACAAGCCAACGACGACCTCTTTCTCACACGTCCTCCATCTTGGTATCCTCGCCATCAGACAACAAATCCTCCACAAGCGAATCCCTCCTTCCGCCATGCTCCGGCACCACGGTCCCATCGCTATCGTCCTCCACCTTGATCTTTGGCTTCCTCGCTCCCTGTCCTTCTTCTTCTTCTTCGTCGTCATCCTCGTCGTCATCCTCCTCCTCCTCATCGTCGTCGCCCGCCCGCGAGCCGGCAACAGATTGTCTATCTCCCGTAGCTTCCGACACAGCCACCGACACGCTGCGACTCGTACGACTATGCGAGGGCCGTTGTTGTTGTTGCTGCAGCTGCTGTTGCTGCTCCTCGAGCCCGTTGACAATCTTGCCCAGGCTGACGTGGATCTTGTACAGCGCGTTGCGGCCCGTCGTGTCCGTCACGAGGCCCTCCTCCACGGCCTCGCTGACGACGTTGTACGTCTCGCGGAGCTTCTCCTCGGAGGAGTTGGGCGAGACGAAGAGCTTCCCGAGGAGGCTGGCGACCAGCTTCTTTTCAGCTTCTGTTTTTTTGGGACATTGCTTGTTAGCCATAAAATCTTCCCAGAAGAAAAAGGAAGAAGAAGAAAAACAAGAAAAAAAAAAAAGAAAAAAAAAAAGACGGAGGGGAGGGAAAGTGTTGAAAACGTACTGCTTATGTTGCCACGAAGCCTCTCGAGAATGTCGCAGGCAAAATCAAGGTGCACGTCGCCCTGGGGATTCTTCTTCTCCCCGTCGAGGACGAGCTCGGGACTGTAGCACTTGCGCGGGTCTGTCCAGTCGACCAAGCAAGCGCCAATCGTCGTCATGCTCACCATGTCTTCCTCGACGTCGACATCGTCATCCTCCAGACCCTCGCGCAGGTTGAGCAGGGAATGGAGCGCCAGCAGGGAAACCTTTCTCATGAGATCCTGGTTCTCCAGCCGAGAGAAGCAGAACACGGGTAAAAAGTAGTTGAGGGCTTGTCGGACCGTCTGGTTGGCGGAGGACGCGGGATCAAAGTAGGCAACCACCAGGGACTTTAGCAGCTCTTCGCAGGCCTCCTCGTCGGAAATGACGCGTCCGAGAAGCAGCTTCGAGGCCGCTATCGTGGCCGCAGCCTGCACCTCGGACGACCTGCCGCCGCCCTTGACTGCCTTGACGTACACCTTGAGGACGGCCGGCGTTGTGGCAAGCAGCTGAGCTCCGTGGACGTTGAGTATGTCGGTCAGGATGTGCAGCGCTGTGATCTGCAAGGCAGTGTGGCCCTTGGTGAAGAAGTGGATAAAGAGCCCCAGGTTCTCCTCGGCCAGCGAGCGGTCGAGGAGGGCGCACAGCCCGAGGCAGACGAGCCCCCTTTCACGAACGGGCGCTTCGTGGCTCCGCACAGCCGGTACCACTAGATTGTTAAGCATGGACACCAAGTCTGTGTTGTCCTTGAGGTTTCCGGCAACATGCGTCAGCATGCACTGAACGATGTGAAGGCACTTCAAGTTGACGAGAATCTCCCTCACTGCCTTCTCATGGGCCTCCTCTTCGCTCATCTCGGGCTGTTCCTTGTTTGAATCGGGCGCTGGAGTATTCTCTCGGCTCCTCTGTTCTGAATGGGCAGAGACAAAGCTCTCGTCGTCTTCCCCGGGCAGGTCCACGATCGTATCGTGTACATCCGCAACAGCCTCGAGCACGACACTGATGAACTCTCTCTCTCCAGCGGCGTCTGGGGCGCAAATGTATCGTAGAGCCTCCATGGCAAGCTTTGTTACTTCGTCCGGGAGCTCTGGAATGGCGAGAGACTGGCGCAGCAGCGTGAACATCTTCCTCCGGCCAACCTCGTCAGAGTAATCAAGGGTCAGCGCTATGTGAAGCATCTGCTCGACAATAAACTCCTGTTCAACGGTATCCTCCTCCTCCTCCTCATCGACATCGTGCTGTGCAATTCGCTTGATGGCGTCGACTAGCACCTTGAGGTAGCGCTCCAGGAAGAAGGCTAGCTTGGTGACTTCTGGCAGCTTCTCCTCGATCAGCGGCTCATATCGGCCCTCACCTTCGCTGCGGCAGAAGTCGTTGAAGCTCCTGGCCATGAAGACGGATTCGGCCGACAGGGTCTCCCAAAAGTGGTCGTCCAAGACTACCGCCTCGCGATAGTCCGGGCGACCCTCCCAGAAGCCCTTCATTGCCTCGAGAGCCACCCCATTCTCCATTCCAGAGTTGATGATGTCGATTCTCTCTAGAAGCTCCAGCAAACCATCAAAGTTTGGCGGTGCCTCTTCTTGCGGCGCCACGCCGGCACAGTCTGCAATCCATCGCTCTCTAAACAGTCTCCCCGCCGCCTTCCGCACGTTCTCGTCTCTGTCACGAAGGCCCCAACGGAGCAGCTTTTCTCTCATGGACAGCGACAAGTGTCGAAAGTCCCCCAGAGCCGGCAGGAGACGAGAGTAGACTGCCCGTCGCGTCGCGGCATCTTGGTCCCTTGCGCGCTCGAGAAGGTATGGGAGAGTCGCGGGTACGATCGGAAGATTGACCAGGAGAGACCGTCGGACGTCGGCGCTCGGATCGTTCTGTAAGACATCAAGCAGCTTGTCCAAGAGACCAACTGAGTGGTTGTCGCTGTCGTCCGAGTTGTGTTCGTCTTCGGGTTGGTTTCCAGCAAGTCGGCCAAGGCCCAGCACGGCCTGGACGCGGACCATGGCCTCCTTGTCTCGGATTCGCTTCAGCAGGTTGTTGCGAAGGCTCTGGAAAAGGTCGTCGTCGATGGCGTCGAGGGAATTGATAATGTGAGAGACAAGCTGGGTCGACCGGAACCGCACGTACTTGTCCTTGGCCTGCATCAGCGACAGGGCGGTTTGGAGCACCTTGGACGAGAGCCGATTGCTCGGCGTTTCGGGCATCAAGCTCGCGTCGGCATCGGCCTCGTCCAGCAGCTCGCTGTCCTTATCCGAGGCATGCCGCAGGAACAGCCCAATGAAGCGAATCAGCTTCTCGCCCACGCTCTCCGCCTTCTTCACCGGCATGATGCGCAGCACGCATCGCACAAACTCGTCATTGAACGCCCTCTCGTCGAACTGGTTGGCGTCTGGCTTTCGGGGGTCTACCGGCTCGTAGCAGCACGCTTCTTGGATCTTGCGGAGGTTGACGGCCAGCTTCCGATGCGTGGCCGTCGTCCGTTGCGCATCGCGGAAGATGGCGCAGACCTGGGTTCGGAGGGCGTTGTCTGGTGTGTCGGGATGCTGCAGAGGCGCCGCGGGCTTCTTGGCGGTGGCCGCCGGTCTGCCGGTCCGAGTCCCTGATCGTGTAGGCATTTTGTCTGCTTCTCTGGCTTGTCTGGAGACGACAGGTATCCCTGCGCGTGAAGCCGCAAGATACAGTCAAGCTCTCAGAAGGAGAAGAAGAGGTGAAGTTGATGGATAGTGTGTTGTGTAGACGGCGCGTCGCTCAACGGGAAACTGCGATCAACAATTCTCCCGTTTCGGCATAACGTGGCGTTGGACCCCGCCATCCATAGTCGGACTAGCGCCAAACATTCGGTCGATACATACATTATGTACCTACATACTAATTTGATAATTAGCGATAAGATAAGCTGCAGCTCCAGATTTTTTTTCTTTTAGCAGAGCATATCAGAGTTCGTGCAACGCCTGCTCCCAGAACTTTTCTCGCATCTCAGTATACCAGATACTGCTGCTGCAATTGAACGTCGACTGCAGCAGAAAACCATGGCCCCTACACAGAATGATCGAAAGCGGAGGAGGCAGGACAGTGAATCCTCCGCTGCCACAAAATCGCACGACCCGGACGGTGGAATCTCGCGGACGCCAAAGAAGGCAAAGGTGGAAGACCGACGGTCTGTCTTTGTGCGGTCATTACCTCCCAGCGCCACAAACGAGAGCCTCGCGGACTTCTTCTCGCAGTACTTCCCCGTCAAGCATGCCACGGTGGTTGTCGACCAGAAGACGAAGGAGTCCCGAGGGTTCGGCTTCGTTTCGTTCGCTGACGCCGACGACGCCAAAGCGGCCAAGGAGGCATTGGACAAGAAGGAATGGGACGGCCGGCGGATTCGAATCGAAGTCGCGGAGCCCAGACATCGAAACCCCGATCCCGACTCGGACGCGGCAGCCAAGAAGCCGGGAAAGCCTGCGTACCAGCCGCCTCCCACCAAGCTGATTATTCGAAACCTGCCGTGGAGCATCAAGACGCCGGAGCAGCTTTCGAAGCTCTTCATCAGTTTCGGAAAGGTCAAATTCGCCGACCTGCCCCAGAACAAGGGGAAGCTCAAGGGTTTCGGCTTTGTCACTCTCCGAGGCCGACCAAATGCAGAGAAGGCCCTCGAGGCGATCAACGGCAAGGTCGTTGATGGCCGAACGTTGGCCGTCGATTGGGCTGTCGATAAGGAGACTTGGGACAGGCAACAAACGGCGGAGAGCAGCAATCAGGAGCCCAAAGACGGCGAGGATGAAGACAAGGAGGATGAGAAGACCGCTGGGGGCAACGACGGTGAGGTCAAGAATCGCGATGACCAACTGCAATCGGACCTTGCCAACTTTATGAAAAACTACATGCACAACATGGAGGACGAAGACGAGGATGACGACGAGGGGAAAGACGACAAAGATGAGGATGAAGACGACGACGAGGATATGAAGCTGTTGGACGAGGAGGACGAGGAGCATGAGGAGGAGAAGGAGCCCGCCAAGCCGAAGCGGGAGCTGATGACGGACAATTCCTCCACCGTCTTTGTGCGAAACCTGCCCTTTACGACGACGGATGAGCAGCTCCAGTCCTTCTTTGGCCACTTTGGCAAGGTCCGCTACGCCCGCGTCGTCATCGACAAGGCGACGGAGAAGCCGGCCGGCACAGGCTTCGTGTGCTTCGTCGATGCGGCAGACGCAAAGGCCTGCATCGTGGGCGCCCCTCGGCGCGCGCCGCCGCCCGCGGGAGGCGTCAAGCACTCCATCCTCCAGGACGAAAACGCCGACCCCACCGGCAAGTACACGCTCGACGGGCGAGTGCTGCAGGTGGCCCAGGCCGTCGGCCGCAACGAGGCGGCGCACCTGGCGGAGAACTCGCTGGCGCAGCGGAGGCAAAAGGACAAGCGCCGGCTGTACCTCTTGTCCGAGGGCTCGCTGGGCGCGGGCTCCCCGCTGCGAGGCCTCCTGACCGACGCCGAAGTGCGGATGCGGCAGGCGAGCGCGGCGCAGCGCAAGAAGCTCGTGGAGAAGAATCCCATGCTGCACATTAGCCTGACGCGGCTCGCCCTGCGCAACATCCCCAGCGACCTCGGCGCCAAGGATCTCAAGGAGCTGGCGAGGAAGGCCGTCGTCGGCTTCGCCAAGGACGTCAAGGAAGGGCGCCGGCAGCCGCTGTCCAAGGAGGAGATTGCCCGAGACGGCAAGGACGCCAAGGAGAAGGAGAAGGAGCGCAAGCTGAAGCGCAAGGGCATCGTCAAGCAGGCCAAGATTGTGTTCGAGGACAACAAGGGGTCCAAGGTGTCGGAGGCGAGCGGGGCCGGCAAGAGCCGCGGCTACGGCTTCATCGAGTACACGTCGCACCGCTGGGCGCTCATGGGGCTGCGGTACCTCAACGGCCTGCAGCTGGACGCGCCCAACGGCAAGAAGCAGCGCCTGATTGTCGAGTTTGCCATTGAGAACGCGCAGGTGGTGAAGCGGCGACAGGAGGCTGAGAACGCCGCCAAGGTGGCCAAGGCAAAGGGCAAGGACGGCGCAGATGCTGCCGATTCAGACGAGGACGAAGGCGATGAGGATGAGGAGGAAGAAGAAGAGGCCCCCAAGCCAAAGATGAAGGCGAATGGGAAGCAAAAGGGAAAGAAAAACAAGGGGAACATGAACAAGGGCCCCAAGGTGAAGAAGCCCGCCAAGGAGGAGGGCGGGGACAAGAAGGAGGATAAGAAGGAGGAGAAGAAGCCGGCGAACGCAAAGGAGGCGATCCAGCAGAAGCTGATTGCGCGGAAGAGGCTGATGCGCAAGAAGAAGGCTGTGTCTAGGGGAAAAGCATAGATTTGGGGACCGTCTCTATAATATCCAGTGGCATTGTGGGATTCATAGTCTTTTTCCTTTTTGTTCATTATTTCTGTGCTATGGGCTATACAAGGATTCGAGTTTCCAATCGAGGATTTTACTGTTGCTGCATACAATCTTTTTGAGCTGAGAGGTATCAAAAAAATCAGAGAAGAGATTAACAGTAATCAAGAACCTTACCCCCCTCTTATTTCCAAAACCATCCCGACTTCTTATCCTGTGTCTGTTGGTCATCCGCATCTGTGTCCGCTCGCTCAATGACATTGGCCTCGCTGTTCCCTCTGGCGTCGACTCTGTGCGACCTGTCGGCGGGACGCATGGAAAAGTGCGTTTCCGTGCTGATTTCGTTGCCATTCTTGTCGTATGTCTTCTTCGTGACCGTCGTGGTCAGGTAACCAAAACTGTTGACCTTTTCGTCCCTCGTGACGACCTCTTTGATGCCATTGTCGTATACCTTTTCTTCGCTTGTGCTGGGCGGCAGAGAAGCTACCTCTCTGCTATCAGTGGATACGGGCTTGTTGTCAGTCTTGGTGGTACTCTCTGCGATGCTCTTGACGAATGCATCCCACGTCTTGTGGCCCTCTGCAAAGCTCGAACTGAGCGAAGAGAACCAATCGTCAAAGTGATCGGGGAGGCTCTTCTGGTGCGAGCCTTGATGATCGTCCTTGTGCGGCCTATTTTCGCGACCGTGGAAGCTATCCTCGAGCTGCTTAAATACCTGGTGCACCTCGTCAAAGAATCCGTTGCCGGCCTTTTCACTTGCGGCAGCGCGGTTCCAAACCTCGGCTGCCTTGCGATCGAGCTCCTCATGAAGCCTGGCCCAGTCACTCCAGCCCGCCCTAAACAGCCCCCACTCGGCAGAGGCTTCATCGTCGCCATCACCTTCCAGCAGACCAAAGTTTCGCGGTCTGTAGAGCTCATCTCGCGTGGGCCGGCGAAGCAGGCCTTGGGATTCTAGCCGTCGAAGCCAGAACCAGGTGGGTTCGCCTTTGGAGAACATCTGTCGTAGTAGCTGCCGCTGGTTGTACCTGTCCTTGATGTCAGGCAGGGGCCGCCCCTGCGAGACGGCGAGCAGGTCCTCAAAGGCGTCCTCAAAGGTGAAGACGGACGGGTCGCATTGCGGCGGCAGGTCATTCGGGACGGGCTGCTTGAGGTGGCGCAGGTTCAACGGCGAATAGGGCCATGAGGCGACTGAGACTGTGTCGAGGGCCAATGGGCGCGACTCGGACTTGTCCATTGTGACCGAAGGAACAGGCGGCAGAGTTTGAGTGATGTGGTTGTTGCGAGCGTGACGATGGCGGGAGCTGTCGCAAACGGGCGTATCTGGTGATGGGCAGGTTGACAGGTCAGATTGACGTATGTCTGGCGGCGGCGGCTGCTGCTGCTGTGGCTGGTGCTGTTGAGCTTGGGGTTGAGACGAGGGTGAGAAGAGTGAGTGAATGGCTGAATCGACGTGCTGTTTGAATTGGATGAAGGCGTTCAGCATGCCGAAGACATGCCTATTCGTGGATGGTAGCGTAGGTGATGGCGATGGCGATGGCGATGGTGAGGTGAATCCAGGTGAAGTTTGGTGATATTGGAGAACTACCCAATGGAGAGAGTGGCTCAGGCTGTCGAGCCTTCTAGACAGCTCCGAGTCTCATGACCTGGACCCTGCTGAGCCTCAGTGTCTGGGTCCCGTCGTGATGCGCTCTGACAGGCAGGTATCTGGAGAGCCCATGAGAGTACCTGGCAGCGCTAGACTGCGTGCATATGTACGCACTCTAGACATGACGGTACTGCTGTGGCGGTGCATGAGGCGCAACTTAGTACGAGCGTCCGGCTTCCAATGGCTCAATTCAATGTCACTTGGCTACCTAAGGTACCTAAGGTAATACCTTTAAAACAACAAATTGATAGAATGATGACGATTATTACGGAGAGGGTCAAATATAAATCATCTTGCTGATACACCAGGAAGCACCTAGTAAATAGGTATCTGCTGAAGCTGTAGTCGGTAATACAAAGGATACCCAAGATCATGCAGACAAGAGAAAGATAAATTCACCCTCCAATTACATCCTGCAGACGTCTTCTTTGTCCCTTCGATCCAAGTCCATGTCGAGGCTTCTTCAGTGATGACATAGCGTGGGGGTACGTACCGTCACCTCCTGCCCCCTCGTCATCTGCCTGCCAGCGGAAATTCGGCGCCAAGCCCGCGACCAAAGCAATACCTTACTCCGTACTTTACCTTACCTGATCTACTAAGTACTCGTACAGCAATGGATGCGTGACTGTCGACCGCATTTTTTTCAAAACTCCTTGATCATCCAGCTCTGGTTTTCCTGCACCATCATGAGCCTCGTCTGTGCCTCGTGTCTGTCCGTCTCTGCTCTGCCTCTGCCTCTGTCTCTGTCTCTGCTGCTCGCTCCGATGGTACCTGGTCAGGCAATCTGCCTCGGCGTCCGGCGACTGTAGCTGCGCGTTTCTCCACCAAATCTCCGATCCTACCGTCACTGCATCTTTGCGTCTTCAAGGTTCTTGTCCTTACTACTATAGCCTTACTCTCTCTTCTTCTCCTTCGTCTTCTTCTTCTTTTCTTTCAACCCCCTTTTCTTTCTTAACTGCTTATACATCTTCCTCCCAGCCTCCAGCCCTTTTTTTTTGGCGGCGGCGGCGGCGGCGACGACGATGCGACCAGCCTTCACAGAGTCGACTCTGCCGACGTGGACGACCCTGACAGCGACAGTAACAGCACCACCGACAGCGACGGCGACGGGCGAGCCCGGCCGAGGCGACGACGAAGATGCCCTGCAGCGCTGGTCCTCCTTGATTGGCATCATCACGGCGATTGTGGGTAACGTCCTCATCGCCCTCGCCCTCAACGTCCAGCGATATGCGCACACGCGGCTGCACAAGGAGCGCAAGAGGATCAAACGAGAGGCCCGCGCGGCCTTGAAGCGGGCGCAAAGCGGCAGCAGCAACGGCCACAGCAATGGGACCACTCAGGTGGGCGTCTACGGCACCATCCTCGGCGGCGGCGGCGATGATCTAGGCAACGGCGGTGAATATCACAACGGTCACGCCAGCACAAACGGCACCGGCAGCCGCAGCGGCCTGTACAGTGATCACTCAGACGACGACGACGAGCGCGACTATCAGGAGAGCGAGCCCCTGATGGCCTCGTTCCAGTCCAGCGCCACGACGGCCAGCTCCGGCTCCGACTCGGAATCGGATTCCAACCCGTCCAAGAAGTCATCCTCCAACTACCTGAAATCGCCGTACTGGTGGCTCGGCCAGATCTTGATAACCTTGGGAGAGGCGGGCAACTTCCTGGCGTACGGCTTTGCGCCCGCCTCCATCGTGTCCCCCCTCGGCGTCGTCGCTCTCGTGTCCAACTGCATCATTGCCCCCGTCATGTTTCACGAGATATTCAGGCCCCGCGATGCCTGGGGCGTCCTGATTGCCGTGTCCGGCGTGGTCACCGTCGTCCTGAGCGCGAATCAGAAGGAGACGAAGCTGAACCCCGACGATGTGTGGGGGGCCATTACGACAATGGAGTTTGAAATCTACCTCGGCGTCACCACGCTGCTCATTGTTCTTCTCATGTGGGCGAGCACCAAATACGGCAAGCGGACCATTCTCATAGACCTCGGCCTCGTTGGTCTCTTTGGTAAGTGTTGATGCCTACTATCATTCCTTTCTTTTCTTCACCAAACTAACGGTTACGTCTCAGGAGGATATACGGCCCTGGCAACCAAGGGCGTCTCGTCGATGCTCTCCACCAGCTTCCTGGCCGCCTTTACCACGCCCGTCACATATGCGCTCGCCTTTGTCCTCCTCTCCACCGCCATTATGCAGATTCGCTACGTCAACAAGGCCCTGTCCCGCTTCGACTCGACCCAGGTCATCCCCGTACAGTTCGTCATGTTTACACTGTGTGTCATCACCGGCAGCGCAGTGTTGTATCGCGACTTTGAAAAGACAACCAAGAAGCAGGCGGCCAAGTTTGTGGGCGGCTGCCTACTCACCTTCTTTGGCGTCTTTCTCATCACCTCTGGCAGAGACCAGCGTGACGACGACGACGAGGAAGATGGGCTGGCCGAGGCCGATGGCATCGAAGAGACAATTGGGCTGACGCAGCACGACGGCGGCGCCTCATCCTCTGCGCTTCCTCAAGCACGGCGTGAGCAGCGGCGCCCCAGCCTACCGCCTCCGAAGACACCATCTCGACGATCTAGCAGAATGTCGCGAGTCAGTTTTGCCGACGCGCTCAAGTCGGACTCAGCCCACAGCGCCGTCGAGCCCCCATCGACGCATGATTTCGAACCGGCAAACTCCCCGGCACACCTCAGCGGCGACGAAGCGCATGTGCTGGTCAGCAACCCATGGCAGGGCCTCTGGGTGAGCCCAGATCCTCCCCGGGGGGCTCGGACAATCTCGGCAGAGTCCGTTGCCACAAGATCCGGCTTGGGATCGACGCCAGTACAGCCGCATCCCCTGGCCTCCATCAAAGACGGCCAGGTGACCCCGACACATTCCACCGATAGACCAGTTACGCCTCGAACGACTCACAGTTCCAAGGCGGGCAACCACCGTGGACGGCCGTTTATTTCTCCCTCTCCTTTCTCTTCCACCGTCACGACGGCCGTCAAGGACGTGATCCTTCGGGAGAACGATAGCCCAGAAGCCACCACGTCTTCCTCTCTACGACGCATAAGGTCGACCATTCGAGCAAGTCTCTTCTTTAACAGCGATGGCGAGGGATCCGTCATGCCGGAGCGCATCGCGGAACAGCCCATTGTGCCGTTCTCGGACGACAATCTGCCGCAAGCCCTGGGCCACGACGATGCCGGGCCAAGCAGTAGTACAGCCACAAAAGCCTCCAGGGGGAGGTCGCGAAGCCTCAGCGACACGCTGGGTGAGTTTTTCCGCCCCAAGAAGCAGAAGAAGCAGGAGGCGGCCGATGAGGACAACACGCGGTTGGACGGCGACGACGAGCAGCCGTTGAACCGCGATTCATAATTGTAATAAGTCACTTACATAACATGTCATTTGCGGGCGGTTCCAGTCATTACATCTTAATAGTCACAGCATTTTTCATACATCACCACGCGTCTCCTTGCCCGAAGATGGCCGCTCAAAAGATTCTGGGGTTTCCGCACGGTATAATGTACCTACTGTGCCTGGCGTTTTTGCTTTCTTTCCTGTTACTATTCAAACTCTCTATTCTTGTTTCTCTTTTGGCATCCTGGTTGTTTCGTCATCAGATGAATCGCGGGTCAACGAGCTCGTATGACATGAACAAAGGACGGGAGGGCAGCAGTCAGAGTTCTATTTTTGGGTGTCTGCGCCCGGGGCCTCTCCATCTGTTTATGCTTTTTCTTTCTGTTGTCTTTTTCTTCTACCTGATATTCCCATGAATGCATTGTTTTTTTGCGGCATGATTCATTGGGTTTCTTTGATAGTAAAATGAATGTATGGCTGTGTTGGCTAGGCGAGATGAATTGAGATTGGGGTCCATCAGCCCCTTTTGGCCTTTTTGCTTGAGCTTTTCGCTTTTCGCTTTCACCTCTTTTTCTTAGGCAAAAGTATCGGTGGTGAAGCCGTGATTTACATGTTCATTTCGGGTTTCCGACGGAACGTGTTGTCACATTGAAACTCGACGAGAGACGCATGATTTCTCTATGTGTGAAGAGTGCTAATCTCCCCCCTATTGAAGGTCTCTATTTCGGTTCAGTAAAGCAGCCCTCGAGTGTCCTATTGAGACAAAATGGAAACGAAAATATAGACGGACGAGTTTACTAGGAAAGGCGTGTATCACAACTTACACCCGCTGCGCCGTTGTGTACCTGGAGGTATGTTCTCTAGATGATCACAGCGAGAGCCTCCAACCAGCGACAATAGCAAGGCATGGCACACAGCAAACAGGATAGTCACTCAGCGCGACAACGCAGAACCACCACACAAAGCTCACTCACAGAATAATCAAATAATGAAGTGACGATGCTTCAATTACTTTTTACAGCAATATGAAAGAAAAAGAAAAGGCAAAAAGTAAAGTTATGAAGGGCATTGAACCCAACCCGATTCGAACGGATAACCTTCAGGAGATTCCGGAGCTGGAATCTGACGCGCTACCGTTGCGCCATGGGTCCTCGTTGAAATTTGAGCCTTGCAAGATTTAGCTAAGAACGCTCTGCTGGTATTTTACCCGCTGACGATGGGTCGCTTGCGTGAGGAACTGTGTGAGAAAAAGATGCGTGTACAATTGGTTTACGAAAGGTGTTGTTTTGTTGATGATTTGACATGTGGCATAGAGTTGATGCTTTTGAGAAAACAAAAATTCCCTTTCTTTTTTTCCTTTACTGTTACATTTTGCTCTTGGAATTACTTGATATGTTTAAATAAGATTTGTTTAAATAAGATTTGTATCCTTGCACTTAATTCGGCCTTTAATTGTATAAACAAAGAGAGGCATGCTAGATTGATATCTTTTACTAGCAGCAGTCATAGAGGCGAGATGCACGTAGGGAGACGGTACTTTCGCGGACTTGATAGCTGCGTAGTGCATGAGAAGATGTAATAAAGTCTGACTTTTCGACAGGGAGATAGATAAAATGTCTGGATTCTTAATGTGACTTTTACATGACTGTTTGTTTGGCTTGAGAGCCGATCAAGGTGCTTGGGTATTTGATATCAGCCTCCTTACCATGCTTTGCCTGCGTAGTTTCAAAGAGTCTTCTTAGGTCGTGTAGTAAGAAACATCACCATCATACATGTCACTGGCTGTCTATTTCGCAATTCATGATTCCTGTGACTTGTCGCAGAGGATCGAGGTCTCCATTTGGCAGAACTGGGCGACGTGCGTTTTCCCTGCCGTCATGCCCATTCTTCTATGTAAGCTTATGCACAAGTCTCAAACGGTGTATTTGTGTCACAGTTGCTCTCAACGTCTATCCGACTGGATAAGTCGAGGATATAACTCCTCACAAGCTGGGCCACATCTTTTCAATGACAACAATTCAAACGTGAGTCTTTGTCAAGACTTGTCATGTTAAACGTGATGATATGCGGACAATTCGGTTGGTCCCGCGCCGATGGAGCCTCCAGTAAGTGCGAGCCTTATGAGACGTCATTTTTCGATCGGCATACACAGCGGACCCATGGCGCAACGGTAGCGCGTCAGATTCCAGTTCATGGAGTCTCCTGAAGGTTATCCGTTCGAATCGGGTTGGGTTCAATGCCCTTCAATCTCTTTTTTTTTTTCTGGCCTTATGCCTTGAAACTTTTTTACCTCTGCATCTTCTTTATAGATGGCTTTCCATCTCGATGTCGACTGCTTCCAGTTGGTCAGGCCTCGGCCGGAGACGAGGCGGACGCCGCACTTGGGGGGCTGTGGCCAAGGTGCCGGAGAGGACGACGACGAGGAGGCTGAGTCCGAGGGTGACGAAGGAGTGTATAATCTCTGTAGCCGGGGTTAGTCTTGGCTCTCGCGATCTGCGGTGTATAGTAAAGGGGCTGTCATACTTGACGTTGATCTTTGTAAGACTCTGTGGTGAGAGTGCTGGGCGCTGCCGAGGTTGTCGACAGACTCAAGTAGAGAGAAACAGAAGCTTCATTCATCGACAATCACCAAGATAGGAATTTGCCCCTGTTACTGACCCCCATCTCTGACTTGCGTATTTGTCTTTGATCCTGGGGGGAAGCTCTTTTGCGCAGCATGCTACCCGCTGAGACTGAAGCTCACTCTATTATGTGTTTTCCATCTCGACTATGATATCGCGGGGATGACCGTCCTCCCGCTTATATGCAGTCGGGCCATCGGAATGGCAACGGTATCCCATGACAGAGAAGACCAATATGCAGCTCCAACATGTCTCTGACGGCGGCCATATGATGCCTTGCACGCTGTCAAGAGCGAGTTGCGCTCGAGCCATTGACATGCTACCCTTCACGGGTTATAGCCATATTCGACAAGAATTAAAAAGAACAACATTTCGACCTCAAGGTACTTGGCACGGCTTCTGTACTCTTTCCCAACAGCCTAGACAAGTCGATACTCCATACTCGGTAGGACATCATAACTGCGTCAATTTCAGTCATAGTCTACCTCGTTCAACAATCTCTCGGTCTAATTACCCCTCAATGCTATGCCCGCGCTTGACTGACCATGAATGAGAATCTCAAGCGATATCAGCATGAGCCAACTCGTGCAAAGTACGGCGGCGTAGACTTTGGGCATCTGGTATCTTACCCGATTCCTGCTCAAGTCCATATCAGATCAACGAGTTTTATAATGCAAAGAAGCGGGCCTCTCGCCGTCAGCAACCACATCCGTGAGGCATTGTATAACCATTCTTAACAAGTTGCCAACAATAAAACAATGTTTAGTGGGCTAAGCACATCCACATCTGTACTGCGGCCATGGGGCCGAGAAGACTCGGTATGTAATCGACAATCAAGAAGGGAACCTTTCTTTTCCTGCAGGTATCACCATGACGCTCCATCACTGCTGCGTCGTATACTATTCAGTGCACTCTAAGCGGTAGAGCGTGAGGAGGACACCAAATCAGGGAACAGGAGTGTTATTGGCCGAGCACGAAGAGACAAAAGTCTTTCACCTTTGTCTTGAGGACGTGCTATATGGCAACCACATCCTCATGTCCACTTTGACAAGAGAAAAGCAGATGGATATCTACTAGCAAAAGGGGGGAGAATGACATCAAGTGAGAAGGGTCCGATTCGGTCAATTGTAGGCATCTCTCAGCTGCTTGGTACAGATTGAATAGGCTGCAACCCAGTGATACAAGGGTATCCAGCCATGGCCTCGCCTCATAACAACAGCCGGCGTCAGAATCGGGGATTTAGCTAACTTGAATCTGCTCTCCTTTGCGGGTGGACGAGGATCTCGTCTCGCTACAATGGCTTGCATCTATAACACATGTTTGTAGTACCTGTAGATCGTAATCAGGGTACGAAGAAACAAAGGCCGGCAGCGAAATGGCATCTTGCTTCCCCAGGTCATATCGCATACGCTTCGATACCAGCAATGGTAGGCGAGATGAGCG